AGGGTCAGGGATGAAATGGAGGAAAGAGACTTGACTTAGGCAACCTGGGGTAGTTTGGCCAAAGGAAGCTCCCAGGTGTGTCGACTTTTTGACTTGTGGGAGGAGAGAGATTCAGAGATTGCCACTGAGGTCCTGGGACAGAGCTCTGGGATGAAGGACAGGGATCCAGAGATACAGAGAGTGGTGACGGGGAGGCCCAGAGAGGGCAACAAAAAGAGCAAAATCTCAGACAGGACCTAAAAAGTCAGAGGGAGACCCAGATAGCATAAGCTGGAAAGAGGGAGGGAGAGAGTGAGGGGAGGTGGAGAGAGGGAAGGTGGAGACAGGGAGGGAGAGAGAGGGGAGGTGGAGAGAGGGAGGGTGAGGGGAGGTGGGGAGAGGGGAGGTGGAGAGAGGGAGGGAGAGAGGGGAGGTGGAGAGAGGGAGGGTGAGGGGAGGTGGGAGAGGGGAGGTGGAGAGGGAGGGAGAGGGGAGGTGGAGAGAGGGAGAGAGGGAAGGTGAGAGGGAGGGAGAGAGGGGAGTGGAGAGAGGGAGGGAGAGAGGGAAGGTGGAGAGAGGGAGAGGGAAGGTGAAGAGAGGGAGGGAGAGAGGGGAGGTGGAGAGAGGGAGGGGAGAGAGGGAGGTGGAGAGAGGGGGAGAGGGGAGGTGGAGAGAGGGAGGGGAGAGAGGGGAGGTGGAGAGAGGGAGGGAGAGAGGGGAGGTGGAGAGAGAGAGGGAGAGAGGGGAGGTGGAGAGAGGGAGGGAGAGAGGGGAGGTGGAGAGATGGAGGGGAGAGAGGGGAGGTGGAGAGATGGGAGGGGAGGGGAGGGGGGGGGAGGTGGAGAGAGGGAGGGGGGGAGGGGGGGAGAGAGGGGAGGTGGAGAGATGGAGGGTGAGAGAGGGGAGGTGGAGGGGGAGGGGAGAGGGGGAGGTGGAGAGGGAGGGAGAGGGGAGGTGGAGAGAGGGAGGGAGAGAGGGGAGGTGGAGAGATGGAGGGTGAGAGAGGGGAGGTGGAGAGATGGAGGGTGAGAGAGGGGAGGTGGAGAGGGAGGGAGAGAGGGGAGGTGGAGAGATGGAGGGTGAGAGAGGGGAGGTGGAGAGAGGGAGGGAGAGAGGGGAGGTGGAGAGAGGGAGGGAGAGGGGAGGTGGAGAGGGAGGGGAGAGGGGAGGTGGAGAGATGGAGGGTGAGAGAGGGGAGGTGGAGAGAGGGAGGGAGAGGGGAGGTGGAGAGGGAGGGAGGGTGAGAGAGGGGAGGTGGAGAGAGGGAGGGAGAGAGAGGGGAGGTGGAGAGAGGGAGGGAGAGAGGGGGAGGTGGAGAGATGGAGGGTGAGAGAGGGGAGGTGGAGAGGGAGGGAGAGAGGGGAGGTGGAGAGGGAGGGGAGAGGGGAGGTGGAGAGGGAGAGGGAGAGAGGGGGGGTGGAGAGGGAGGGAGAGGGGAGGTGGAGAGATGGAGGGGAAGAGGGGAGGTGGAGAGAGGGAGGGAGAGAGGGGAGGTGGAGAGATGGAGGGAGAGGGAGGGGAGGTGGAGAGAGGGAGGGAGAGGGAGGGGAGGTGGAGAGATGGAGGGTGAGAGAGGGGAGGGTGGAGAGGAGGGAGGGGAGAGAGGGGAGGTGGAGAGAGGGAGGGGAGAGAGGGGAGGGGAGGTGGAGAGGATGGGAGGGAGAGGGAGGGAGGGGAGGTGGAGAGATGGAGGGTGAGAGAGGGGAGGTGGAGAGGGAGGAGGGAGAGAGGAGGGGAGGTGGAGAGATGGGAGGGAGAGAGAGGGGAGGTGGAGAGGGAGGGAGAGGGGAGGTGGAGAGATGGAGGGTGAGAGAGGGGAGGTGGAGAGGGAGGGAGGGTGAGAGAGGGGAGGTGGAGAGATGGAGGGTGAGAGAGGGGAGGTGGAGAGGGGAGGGAGAGGGGGAGGTGGAGAGATGGAGGGTGAGAGAGGGGAGGTGGAGAGGATGGAGGGGAGGGGAGGAGGGGGGGAGGTGGAGAGGAGGGAGGGAGAGAGAGGGGAGGTGGAGAGGGAGGGAGGGAGAGAGAGGGGAGGTGGAGAGATGGAGGGTGAGAGGGGAGGGTAGAAGGGGGAGGGGAGAGAGGAGGGGGAGGTGGAGAGGGAGGGAGGGTGAGAGAGGGGAGGTGGAGAGATGGAGGGGTGAGAGAGGGGAGGTGGGAGAGAGGGAGGGAGAGAGGGGAGGTGGAGAGATGGAGGGTGAGAGAGGGGAGGTGGAGAGGAGGAGAGGGAGGGGAGAGAGAGGGGAGGTGGAGAGGGAGGGAGGGGAGAGAGGGGAGGTGGAGAGATGGAAGGTGACAGAGGGGAGGTGGAGAGATGGGAGGGTGAGAGGAGGGGAGGTGGGAGGAGGATGGAGGGGGAGGGAGAGAGGGGAGGTGGAGAGGGGGAGGGAGAGAGGGGAGGTGGAGAGGGAGGGAGAGGGGAGGTGGAGAGATGGAGGGTGAGAGAGGGGAGGTGGAGAGGGAGGGAGGGGAGGTGGAGAGATGGAGGGAGAGGGGAGGTGGAGAGGGAGGGAGGGGAGGTGGAGAGATGGAGGGAGAGGGGAGGTGGAGAGGGAGGGAGGGAGAGGGAGGGAAGGTGGAGAAGGAGGCATCGTCTTCCCACCAGGCTGCTGCTTGTCCTGGTAACATGTCTTAGGTAACTAACGAAGCCGACCTCGTAGGTCAGGTGACTAGCGCTGCCTCCTCAGTACCACTGTGAAGCCCAGCTCTGGAGCACGGAGTAAATGGAACCCCTGGAGTTGCTCTTAACCTCTCCAGGGAGACGGTTTCATGCTGCCCGATAGGACAGCCCCTGCCGTCCCCTCACCTGGAAATTCTCCCGACTGTCTGCAGGCCACATTCCCCTCAACCCAAGTAAAGGTGCCCCTGGCCAAGCCCCAGTTCCCAAGATTCAACGACTGGAGGTCAGGGGAGGGGACGTGTGCTCCTTCTGCTCACCTGGCAGGAACTTTCAGAGCAACCAGGTCCTATCAGAGCAGGCAGCCTGCCTGCTTCACCCGTGCCCGGACTCCACGCAGCCCCTCAAAACTGGTTATAAATAAGAGACTGGGCCAGGCACAGCGTGATCCCAGCACTTTGCGAGGCGAAGCAGGCAGATTCTTTGAGGTCAGGAGTTGGAGACCAGCCTGGCCAACATGGTAAAACCCCATCTCGGCCGGGCACTGTGGCTCACACCTGTAATCCCAGCACTTTGGGAGGCCGAGGCGGGTGGATCATGAAGTCAGCAGTTGGAGATCAGCCTGGGCAACATGGTAAAACCCCGTCTCTGATAAAAATACAAAATTAGCCATGCGTGGTGGCAGGCGCCTGCAGTCCCAGCTATTTGGGAGGCTGAGGCAGGAGAATGGCGTGAACCCGGGAGGCGGAGCTTGCGGTGAGCCAAGACCACGCCACTGCACTCCAGCCTGGGTGACGGAGCAAGACTCCGTCTCAAAAAAGAAGAAAAACCCAAAGGTTTGGTGGTGGGCGCTTGTAATCCCAGCTATTCAGGAGACTGAGGCAGGACAATCAACTGGACCCGGAGGTAGAGGTTGCTGTCAGCTGGGATCACACCACTGCACTCCAGCCTGGGCAACAGAGTAAGACTCTGTCTCAAAAAATAAATAAATAAAAAATAATAAGAGGCCAGACACAGAGGCTCAAGCCTGTAATGTCAACACTTAGGGAGGCTGAGGTGGAAGGGTCACTTGGGCGCAGGAGTTCAAGCCCAGCCTAGGCAATACAGCCCAACCCTGTCTATAAACAATTTAAAAATGGGGCCAGGGTGGTGGCTCACACCTGTCATCTCGGCACTTTGGGAGGCTGAGGTGGGCAGATCATGAGGTGAGGAGTTCAAGATCTATCCTGGCCCGCGGGATAGTCAGAGCAGGCCCTGGAGGAGGTGGGGGTGGGAATTTGGGGAACAAGACACAGGAGAAATGGAGACAAGACAGTGCTCTGATCAAGTCTCGTTTAATGGCAGTAATGCACTGCCTTATATACACTTGGAAGGGAAGGGGTTGGGCTAAGGCGGAAATGATCTCATTGCCGAGGGCGTGGCCAGGTTAGTTTCGGTTTCTCCGGTTGGACGTCATGTTGCGCTTGCGCTATTAAGTAACAATTTTCCCGGGCGTGGGAAAAGTGAGTGAAGAAGCAGGAAGAGCACCATCTTTAATGAGGTATTAGTACAGGGGAAAAAAGGCAAAGATAGGGAGAAGGTGTGGGGTGGAAATGAATATAGCTCAGGCGTTTAATCCTCAATTATTATTCGCTATGGCCGGGGCGTGCAGCTCCGGACAAAGATCAGCCTGACCAACATGGTGAAACCCCGTTTCTACTAAAAACTATAAAAATTAGCCAGGTGTGGTGGCGCATGCCTGTAATCCCAGCAACTTGGGAGACTGAGGCAAGAGAATCGCTTGAACCTGGGAGGTGGAGGTTGCAGTGAGCCAAGATTGTACCACTGCACTCTAGCCTGGGCGACAGAGCGAGACTCCACCTCAGAAAAAAACCAAACACACAAAAAATGTTACATTAACCAGGAGGCCAGCTGTGGTGCTTCATGCCTGTAATCCCAGCCCAGTTTGAGGCTGTAGTGAGCTATGACTGCATCACCGTACTCCAACCTGGGCAACAGAGACCCCGTCTCTGGAAAAAACCAGTAACAACAGGACCTGGTTATTGGGCGCTGATGGCCATGCTAAGTGCTTTCTGTGCATTTTTTCCAGTCCTGGGCCCCTGGGCGTAGGTGTGGAGGCTTGGAAAGGCGAGGTGGCTGGCCTGAGGTGCCAGAGCAATCCCGGCTGGCCTGCGCTGAGCTCTGCGGCTGTCGGCAGCCACATCGTTTGCTATCGAAGTGACTGAGGTTGTCCAGGACACTGGAGAGGGTTTTTCCTTCTGGGATCCCATGACGAGAAAGGAACGGGGAAGGGAGCGCGCCTAGACACCGCCTGGAGCCGAGGGAAAGCTCTTTTCTCAAAACTCCATAGCTCTGACTCTTCTAGTTGCCCCAGCTGTTTGAAAAATGATCACTCCCCAAGGACAGATCTTGATAATGTCCTTTTAATTGTACTCTTTTCAAAAAAGCATCTCCTTTCTCAGTTAAAATAAAACAGACAAGGCATGATGAAGACCGGCTCTAGCCCACACCAGGCAGTGACCTCGGTCCTGGGGGAGGCCAGGCCGGGCTCTTCCAAGGCCTCCTCCCTGGGGAGCCCAGCACTGGGGCCGGTGGCAGGGCAGGTTCTCCCTGCCAGAACCGCCAGCCCCAATCCCAGCCCTTCAGAAGGACTGGGCCTCTGTGTCCCTTCAGTGGGAAGCCACCTTGGACACACGCAGTCATTCAGGTGGACATGAGGCCACTCTTCTCGCCCTTGACCTTGAGGAACTCAGCCATGCTGGAGAAATACTTTTGGTTGGCCTCAGCCACCTTCTTCTCTGCCGCCTGTGGGTTCACAATCTCCAGGCCCTGGGCAGGTGAGGGAGACAGGATGGTGGGTTGGGTGAGGAGAAGGCCCCAACTGTGACCCATCAGAGCCCCCCAGGCCCTTCCCCATGGTACTCAGGCCTTGGGTGGGCATGAGACAGTTTGCCTGTCCCTGGAGTTGCCCTGTCTTGGGAGGTTCTGACTCAGTGGGTCTCGGGGAAGAGGCTGGGGAGGAACCAGGGCGCCTAGATTTGTATGAAGTTCCTCAGGGGTGCTAAAAACAACCGACGCTTGAGAACAGCCAATCCTGCCCAGTTTCTGCATGAGGAAACTGAGTCCCTGGGGGACGTGGCTGGCCCGAGGTCCCAGCACAAATCACACCAACACCACCGACGATCACAGTGGCCAGCGATGGGCGCCAACACCTGGCTGGCACTTCCTAAATATTTTCAAGGCAACAGAGCGAGCCCCTGTCTCTAAAAAAAAAATAACAGGACCCAGTCATCGGGCTCCAGTGGTGAGCCCAGTGCCAAGTGCTTCCTGTGCATTCTTTTCAGTCCTGAGCACCTCATGGCGGAGGAGGGGAGGCTTGGAAAGGCACAGCCACTGGCCTCATCTTCTCAAAGAGGCCCTCCCTGGCTGCTCCAAAACGAGAGTCCCCCGTCCCACCTCCTACCTCCCACCTCCTCCCCTCCCTGGCATTTCCGCCTTCTACTACATTAGACATCCTACTGAGCTGTCTGTGCCCGGCCACCCACTGGCTCCCTGAAGGTAAGACTTGTCTCTCTCATTCATCGCTTCATCCCCAGAGCTGGGAACACCGATGGAACTCAGTAGGTGCTCCACAGACATCCGCGGACTGAGCAAATGAGCTCGCTGCTGTCTCGGCCCCACGTGCAGGCTCGCCCTGCTCTGTGGATGGTAAACCGAGGCTCCGACGATGCGGTGACTGCCATGCTCCACGCCACTCACTGCTGACTGGCTGGGGCCTGGACCCACACGTGACATCCAAGCTCACCTAGCCGGGAACTTTCTCGAGTGGGGTCCTGAGGTTACCTTAACCGCCCTGGCCATTTTCAACTGGAAGGCCTGGAGGCTGAGCAGTGTAACCAGCTCACAGCCCCACAGAGAGGAACTGGATGCCCTGGACACAGCTGTGGGCCTGGTTCTAAAGCGGTCCGTGCTCATGAGGACTGCTCAGCACTGGCCTCTCGTCTCTGCTAACTTCTTCCTGTGTGCCAGGAGCTGTCTACGTCCTCTGAATACCTCGTCACCACGCCCTCCACGACAGCCCCGTGAGGGGACTCATCCTGGCCGGCTTCACAGGGGCAGAGGGCAAGGGGCCTTGCCAAGGTGTTGGGGCTGGGGACAGAGCCGGCCCAGGGCAGGTACCTGGAGTGGGGTGAAGGCCACACTGGAGGCCGTGCCCGAGGAGCGGTCGCGGATGGTGGACTTCCCGCCGTACACAACGCTCTGCTTCTGCAGGGTCCGCTGTGGGGAGGACAGGGAGGCTGCGATCTGGGCTCCCCCCACCCTGTGTCTCGGTCCCCAGCCCCACCCAGGTCTGGCCCATACCTGCAGCGTCTTGGAGATCCTCGCCTTGGTGGCCTCGTTGACCTGCGTCTGCCGCACGCGCCCACTGCCCGACTTGCCCAGGTGGCCCAGGCTGAATCCCAGGTCCTCCTGGTAGGCGTCCTCCTCAATCTAGGAGGAAGGGGAGGCACCCTGCAATTCAGTGACCAGGCCCTGCCCTCCAGCCACTGAGGCACCCCCTCGACCAGCTGGAAGCCTAGCAGTCACCAGCCGGCTGGTCCCACGGGCACCTGCTCAGGTACCCACTTGGCCCGGCTGAGGCCTGAGGGCCCCCACAAGCGGGGGATGCTGGGGAGCCTGAGAGGGGCTGGGTCCTAGCACTGCTCTGTGAGCTGAGTCGAGAGGCCATTCCTTCCTTCCTCGTGTGGATTGGGGGGTGTCAGGAACCAGAACAGGTTTCATAGGATGAGGTGGCCTCCGAGTTGGGTCTTGCAGGACCAAGGGGATGACGTTGGGATAACAGGGGAGACTGGCGGGGCCCGGGAACGGGGCGGCGGTGCAGCAGGGCACTGCGGAGCCTCTGGGCAGGGAGGAACCAGCCAAGGAGCCCGGGGCGATGGGAAGCTGCAGGGCTCTAAGCGCGGGAGACACAGGCTCCCAGGGTTACAAGGGTCACTTTGGGGCTGAATGGATGGAAATGAGAGTAGAGGCTGGGGGATGAGGGAAGAGGCTGGTACAGCACCCTAGACATGAGCCAGGGCCACAGGACGAGAGGAGGGACGGTGGCAGGAGGCAGAGGGCGGTGGCGGCTGGCTGCCTGTGGGGGTGAGGAGGGCGCTGGGGGAGTCTGACCTCTCCGAAACTCATCCGGTTGGCCTGCTTCCGGATCTCTGTCAGCCCCAGCCGCTCCTTCATCTTGCGGTACCTGGGGACGGATGGGCGGGCAGTGCCAGGGAGTCAGCTGGGAGGAGGACGCTGGCCTCTCCCCTCCATGACCCCCACGCCTACTGGACCCCCGGGCCCCTCACCTGCGGCCGCCTCGCTTCTTCCGCTGCCCATCCAGGGGCGCAGGCAGTGGCTTCACCTGCTTCACGGGGGGGGGCTCCTGCCACTTGTCAAATTTGCGCTCGATCTCATCCTTCAGTTCGTAGCCCACCTGGGGAGGGCGAGGGGGAGGTCCTGCAGCTGCTCACGTGCGCCGCCCACCCAGACCTCCTCTGTCAGCCGTCCGCCTGTCCACCGAGCAGACAGACTGCCCACGCCAGGGCTCCTCTGTCCGCCGTCCGCCTGTCCCCCGAGCAGACAGACCGCCCACGCCAGTGCTCCCTCCCCGCTCCGGGGCAGACAGACCGCCCACGCCAGGGCTCCGTCCCTGCTCCGGGGCTCTGGGTTTTCAGTTCTGTCAACAACCGGATGGCCTCATCTCGGCTCACACCTCTCCTCTGGGATTTTTTTTTTTAAGATACAGTCTTGTTCTGTCGCCCAGGCTGGAGTGCAGTGGCATGGTCTCCGCTCACTGCAAGCTCCGCCTCCTGGGTTCGAGGGATTCTCCTGCCTCAGCCTCTCGAGTAGCTGGGACTACAGGCACCCACCACCACGCCCGGCTAATTTTTTGTATTTTCAGTAGAGACGGGATTTTACCATGTTGGCCAGGCTGGTCTCTAACTCCTGACCTCGTGATCTGCCCACTTCGGCCTCCCAAAGTGCTGGGATTACAGGCGTGAGCCACCATGCCCAGCCTTCCTCTGGGTTCTGTACCCTGTAAACAACTGTCTCCTTGACATTGGGATCGTTAACAGGCCCTTCAAAGGTATAACAGGGCTAAACAGAATTTCTGGTCCTCCTCCCCAGCCTTCCACCGTCTGCCTTCCTTCTCCCGGTACAAGCAAACGGCAATGCCCGAGAGCCGAGCAGCTGACTCCACTGTTTCTCTCCCACGCCGCAGGTCCCCAGGGACGACTCCTTCAGAACCAATACCAAATTGGCCCCCTTCAGCCCCTCCACTGCAGCCAACGTTCGCCCCGGGATGCGCAGCCTCCATGCTGCCTGCCCCTGGATTCCGCCAGGGCCTCCCCTCTCTCCTCCAGGGCTCGCTGCGCTCTAGCCTCAGGGCCTTTGCATCGGTCATTCCCCCTGCTTGGAAGACTCTTCTCCCGAGTATCCATGTGCCTTGCTCCTTGGCTTCACTCAGGTCTGGGTTAAACCCTCAGCTCCTCAGAGCCCTGGGTCTTCCCTGACGTCCCAGTTAAACCCTCACCTCCTCAGAGCCCTGGGTCTTCCCTGACGTCCCAGTTAAACCCTCACCTCCTCAGAGCCCTGGGTCTTCCCTGACGTCCCAGTTAAACCCTCCCCTCCTCAGAGCCCTGGGTCTTCCCTGACGTCCCAGTTAAACCCTCACCTCCTCAGAGCCCTGGGTCTTCCCTGATGTCCCAGTTAAACCCTCACCTCCTCAGAGCCCTGGGTCTTCCCTGACGTCCCAGTTAAACCCTCACCTCCTCAGAGCCCTGGGTCTTCCCTGATATCCCAGTTAAACCCTCACCTCCTCAGGGCTCTAAGTCCTCCCTGACATCCCAGGTAAATCAGCACCTAATGTCGCCCCCACCCCAACCCCCTTTCTTTTTCTTCTTAGTGTTGACTTAGCACCGCTAGACGCAGGACAGATTTCACCTGTTGACTGTCTCCTCGACCCGGCCCCAACAAGAATGTCCCTGCCACAGGGCAGGGCTCCTGTCTGTGCTACTCACAGCTGCACCCCCACACCCAGACCAGGGGTGAGATGGGGAGAGGGAAAGAAGAAGAGGGGGACACGGAACACTTGAACGCCATGCCAGGCTGGGTGCTTGGCAAACGACAGTTCACAAGACAGAAAATGTGTCTCCTCTCCCGAGTACGTCTACCAAGGAAGACAGAAAGTAACTGAATAATTACTTGAATAACATCCCCTGTTGCAGCGGGGACAGATCCTGGTGCGGAAGACAAATTATACCCCCACCAACACACACATGCCCAAGGAGGTCCATGTTCTAATTCCCAGAACCTCTGAATGTCACCTCACAGGGCAAAAGGGACGTGAAGAGATTAAGAAGGATATTAAGGATTGTGAGCTGGGAAGACTATCCTGGACCATCTGAGTAGGCTCAGTATAGCCACAAGGGCCCTTAACATAGAGGGGGGAACAAAAACAGAGGCCAGATATGAGACAGAAGCAGGGTCAGAGAGAGCTCTGAGGGTGCTATGCAGCTGGCTCCGCACACAGAGGGAGGGCCATGAGCTAAGGGGTGCCAGTGACCCCTAGAAGCTGGAAAGACAAGGGAATGGATTATCCCTTGACTCCCCTAGAAGGAACCCTCCGGGCTGACACCCTGACTTCAACTTAGTGAAACTTATTTTAGACTCCTGACCTACAGGACCACAGATAATAAACCTGCACTGTTTTTTTATTTTGTTTTGTTTTGTTTTTTTCTTTTAGATGGAGTCTCGCTCTGTCACCCAGACTGGAGTGCAGTGGTGCAATCTCAGTTCACTGTAACCTCTGCCTCGCTGGTTCAAGCGATTCTCCTGCCTCAGCCTCCTGAGTAACTGGGATTACAGGTACGTGCCACCACATCTGGCTAACTTTGGTAGAGATGGGGTTTCACCATGTTGGCCAGGCTGGTCTCAAACTCCTGACCTTATGATCCGCCCACCTCGGCCTCCCAAAGTGCTGGGATTACAGGCGAGAGCCACCGCGCCCGGCCAAACCTGCACTGTTTTACGCCAGTAGGTTTGTGCTACTTTCCAACAGCAGCCCTAGGAAACGAACCCACTGGGAAAAGGGCGCCTGCCCCAGGGAGGGTGGGCAGAAGCACTGCCTCTACCTTGGTGGACAGTGCTTGCTGGGGTGGGCTCCCTGCTGAGGACTCTCCCCGCAGAGACACTCCAGGCCCAGAGGAAAAGACGCCCGGCCGCCCCTCACCTTCCCCCCCTCACCTTCCCCCCCTCACCTTCCCCTCCTCACCTTCCCCCCCTCACCTTCCCCCCCTCACCTTCCCCTCCGTGCTCTCGTGGAAACTGTCCACACGGGCTGCCAACGTGCACTTGGCAGCCACCAGCCGGGCCGCTTTCCGCCGGAGATCCTGGAGCAATGGAAAACGGGGGTGGAATCTGTGTGAGACAGACAGATAGAGGTAATAGCAAAGCAACCACGGGCACTTCTCCTCCAGCTCTACCCTGGGTCCCGGAAGGGGGCTGTCCACCCATGGGCTCTCGAGGCGTGTGCTCCTAGCTCCCACTTCACAGGAAGAGGGGATGAGGGCAGGGCACAGAGCCACGTCCCAGCTGGTAAGTGGCAGAGTCAGGTAAGGATGACAGTAAGACACGCTGACGAGGAGGACAGTGGTGACTGTGGAGACACTGGGGGGGGGGGGGAGTGCGCTCAGCCTGGATGCCAGCCCCGTGCTAAGTATGCCCCTCGGATCATCTCATCAAATATGCAAATATCAGGCTGGTGTGATCATTGCACCCCCTTTTCAGATGTGGAAACCAAGGCTTCAAGTCATGTGGCCGGGAAGACAGCCAGCAGGTGATGGAGCCAGGGTTCCAATCCAGACTGCAAACAGAGCCCAGCTGTCAGCCGCAGTGCAGCGATGGCCAGCCCTGGCCTCCCTTACAGGCCTGTGATGTCTATGGCCTGTGCCTGGACTGATGTGAGATGGGCAAATGAGGAGGCAGAGGCCTGGTGACAAGACACCAGGCTCCCTGGGGCAGGTTTAACCCACATGCCTAGGGCTGTGAGGCGGTGGCGATGGCAGGAGTGCAGTGAGGCGGCTGGAGCCCCGAGCCCCAGGCCCACAGTCCTGGGTTCTATCGCCCGCTCTCCCTCCTCCCAGGATGGGGCGACCTGCCAGCCTCCCTGGGTGTGTTCCAGTAGCAGTGCCTGACCTAAAGAGTCACAGAAAAAACCAAAAAAAAAAAAAAAAAACCTACACAGGCCTGGGGGGTGGGGCCAGGAAACAACCACCTGGCCTTGTCCATCAGTGCTATTGTTCTCCCCATCCCTGGGGGAGGCCGGGCAGGGCACAGGGCCATGAGCCTGAGGTCACTTGCCACAGTCGGACACAGCAGGGTCTGGACCCAGGCCTGAACCCAGGCCTGTCTGTCCCAGAGCCTGTCTTGCTTATGTTTCTGTTTTTTTCTTTTTCTGTTTTTGAGACAGAGTCTCACTCTGTCGCCCAGACTAGAGGGCAGTGGTGTGATCTTGGCTCCTGCAACTTCCATCTCCTGGGTTCAAGCGATTCTCCTGCCTCAGCCTCCCAAGTAGCTGGAATTGTAAGTGTGCGCCACCATACCTGGCTCATTTTTTTGTATTTTTAGTAGAGATGGGGTTTCACCGTGTTAGCCAGGATGGTCTCGATCTCCTGACCTCAGATGATCTGCCCGCCTCGGCCTCCCAAAGTGCTGGGGTGACAGGCGATAGCCACCACTCCCGCCTCCTGGTTGTGTTCTAGGCCCCCACTTGTGACCCTCACAACAGCAGCGTGAGACGCGCCTGAGACGGGAGGTGGAGGATGCTGGGAGCAACCCCGAGGGGAGGGACCCTGGCTCTGGGCCGGACTGTCCAGACTCAGACCAGCTCCACCGCCTGCGGGGTCTCAGACAAGTCTGACTTTCGGTGCCTCGGTTCCCTCATCTGTGAAATGGGTGGCGAAGGGCAGAGGAGGGACAGGATCTCCCTTAGAGAGTTGTGAGGACTCGGCCGGGCGCGGTGGCTCACGCCTGTAATCCCAGCACTTTGGGAGGCCGAGACGGGCGGATCACGAGGTCAGGAGATCGAGACCATCCTGGCTAACACAGTGAAACCCCGTCTCTACTAAAAAATGCAAAGAAATTAGCCGGGCGAGGTGGCGGGCGCCTGTAGTCCCAGCTACTCGGGAGGCTGAGGCAGGAGAATGGTGGGAACCCGGGAGGCGGAGCTTGCAGTGAGCTGAGATCCGGCCACTGCACTCCAGCCTGGGCGGCAGAGCGAGACTCCGCCTCAAAAAAAAAAAAAAAAAAAGAGAGTTGTGAGGACTCGCCGGGCGCGGTGGCTCAAGCCTGTCATCCCAGCACTTTGGGAGGCCGAGGCGGGCGGATCATGAGGTCAGGAGATCGAGACCATCCTGGCTAACACGGTGAAACCCTGTCTCTACTAACAATACAAAAAATTAGCCGGGCGTAGTGGTGGGCACCTGTAGTCCCAGCTACTCGGAGGCTGAGGCAGGAGAATGACGTGAACCCGGGAGGCAGAGCTTGCCGTGAGCCGAGATCGTGCCACTGCACTCCAGCCTGGGCGACAGAGCGAGACTCCGTCTCAGAAAAAAAAAAAAAAAAAAAAAGAGAGAGTTGTGAGGACTCAATGAGATCACCAAATGTTTCCAAAGCTCCACTCACAGCCAGCTCTGCTTGTTGCGCGTTTTCCCACCACTGCTATGACTAAAATGCCTTCTGATAATAACCAGTCGTCAATGTTTTCTTTTAGTCTGCTTTTAAAAACTGCAAACCTGTTTAGACAGCTTAATTTCATTACCACGAATGGGAGATTATTCAATAAAAATAAGTATGCAGTGATTAAAATAAAAACCACCGTCTTTGTGTCACTGAAATTCATGGTCTGTGCCACTGAAGGGAGATGACCTGTGTTCTAGGAGACATCAGGAGGATGATGTGAAACTCGCTGCCACAGAATCAAATGATACTGAAGATGACAGTCACAGGAATAACACTGGCAGCGGCTCCGCGTGGCAGAGAATTTCGCCTTGCCCAGGAAGAGGTTTGGCCTTTGCCCGGGGGTCCTGGGTGGCGGTCCTTGCTGGCTGGGGCCCTGGGGTAGCCACAGTGTGGTTTAGGGTGCCTGGGGCTGGCCACGCAGGAAAGCCCAACCACGTGGTTCAGCGTGGGGGCTCTGAGTTATGGGGCATCACCTGACCTGGAGACAGACCAGCCACACGGCAACACAGTCGTGTCTACACAGCAGAGCCACAATAAAGACTGAACACCACGGCCCAGGCAAGCGTCCCTGGCCCAGGCTTAAGTGCAGTGGTGCAATCTTGGCTCGCTGCAACCTCCGCCTCCCGGGCGCAAAGTATCCTCCCATCTCAGCCTCCCAAGTAGCTGGGATGACAGGCAAGCGCTGCCACACCGGGTTGATTTTTTATTCTTGTAGAGACAGGGTGTTTCCAATCCCATTGGAATCAAGACAAAAAAAAGAGTCGGGGTCTCACTATGTTGCCCAGGTTAGTCTTCAACTTCTGGCCTCAAGTGATGCTCCCGCCTCGGCCTCGCAAAGTGCTGGGATTACGGGTGTGAGCCACCGCGCCCCGCCAGGCTGGCGGCCCTGTGTGCTGTCAGGCATCGATGCCGGGAGGGCGATGTGTCCTGACTGCAGGGAGAGGACACATCGCCCTCCGAGGTTGGTGACCTCTCCTGCTCCTCCTGTGTGTCTCTCCCTGTGGCTAATGTTAATCTGTTATACAGTCCCCAGCACAGCAGCCCTCAGGGGTTCCGTGTCTTTCCAGTGACGGTGGCCTTCGGAGCAGCTGCTAACCCGACGCTGCTTGTCGTGAGCTAGGCCTGCCTTGTGAGGGCCTCATCTGCATGGAGCCCTCGCCCAAACTCGTGAAGCAGGCGCTGTGCTCCCATTTGCGAGGGGAGGAGACTGAGGCACAGGGCACTCACGCCTCTTGCCCACAGTCACCCGACAGGTGTGCTGCAGAACCCTGGCTCTCACATCCCATGCTACCCTGTCCCCGGCTCCTGAGTGCTACTGTCAGCTGGGCCAGATGGTGGGGGTGGCTGCTCAGGCCGTCTGGGCAGGCGGAAGGCTCCAGGGGAGCCGGGGGAGGGGCTGTGACGCGGTGGGCTCACCGGGGGCAGGGACTGCACAATGTCACTGTGGTAGATGTAGCCGGTATGGGGCAGCACTGAGGTAGACGAGAAGCCCGACAGCGTCTTGCGCTGGGCCCCGAGCAGCATGATGTTGCAGGCGGGCATCTTGGAGAGGTTGGTCAGGCCGCCGGCCACGCCTGCGGTGGGAGGAGGACAGGGGCGGTCAGAAGAAAGCGGGGGAGGCGGGGGTGCGCACATCTGCCTGGGGGCTCGACATGTGCCAAGCACCTTTACGTGAGGTTCTGGCTGGATTCCTCGGTGGCCCTGCCAGGCGGGCGACCTGGCCCATTCCGCGAGGGGCAGACGCAAAGGAGGCTCAGAGAGGGAGGGCAGCTGGCCTGGGGTGCAGGGAGGAGGCCCCCAACAGGCAACTGACCACCACGTTTGTGCTAAGCCACACTACCCCCATTCCAGGGATGTCTGTGTTTTGGAACCATTTTCACCAAACCAGGAGCCCCCTGACAACAGGGCCTGGGTGTGGTCATCTCTGGCTTTCCGGCACAGGGGAGGGAGGAGGAGCTGTGGGTGAGTGTTTCTCCCAGACGAGGCTTTGCTGTGTGCCAGGCTGGCTGACCTCTGTCACGTCCAGGGAGACGGGGTGCTGAGGCCCAGGTGCCAAAGTCCCCATTCTACAGAAAAGGGAAGCAGCTTCCCCAAGATCACAGTGTCAGCAGAGTCCCGCTCCATGGGACCCAGCCCAGGGCCTCACCCATGATCTTGGCGGCCGTGGATGCCCCGATAATGATGGAGAGGTTGGGCGCGATGAAGGACATCCGGGACTCCACGTACTCGTAGATGCGGTGCTTGGAGGCGTTCAGCTCCAGCGCCATGTCACAGGCCTCCTCCAGCCGCTCCAGCTCCTCCTCCGACAGCTGCTGCCTGCAGGGGCGGGTGGGCCCAGCCTCCTGGGTCTCCCGCCTGCTTGGTGCCCAGCACCCACCCTCTCAGTTCTGTGTGTGTGCGCGTGTGTGTGTGTGTGCGTGTGTGTGTATGCCCACCTGCGTGGGTAGCTTCAGCCTAATCCCCAGTCCCACTGGCCCGGGCCCGGCGCCTCCCTCCAGCGGACATACCCCTGGGTGGTGGAGGCGGTGACGCTGACGACCATGATGGTGGCGTTGGTGAGGATCTGCTGCAGGTTCTCATTGTTCTTGCACTTGTCCAGGCTGTTGCCCAGCTCCTGGGCGCGAGCAGAGAAGACAGGGGAGGCTCAGGAACTCAGGAAGGCTTCAGAGCCTCTCTGGCCCTGCACCTACTCGGGTCTCTTCTCGGGGACACTGGGAAAGTCAGGGTCTCTACACTGGGGGCCTCTCCTGCCTCCACCGCCTGAAGCATCCACACCGTCTGCTCTGCTTTGGAAACGGAACCTGGGCAGAGCAGCGTCTGGGAAGACCGCGGCCTCACAAGCCTCTGCCTGTGTCGAGTCGGAGCACAAACCCGCGGCCTCGCTTCCCTGCGGGGGCTTCCCCCACCACCATCCTGATCCTTTCCCGGACACACGTGGGGACCGCCTCCTCTCCCTGCCCTCACCTGCATCCGCCCCTCTTTTCTGAAACCCTTCCTTGGCTTTCTCATAAGACCCAAAGGCTCAGTGTGATCCGACCTCTTCCGCGTCCCCTCCTTCCCCGCCTCACTTCCTCCCCGCTTGTTCCCTCTCAGGCTCTCCATACTTAACACATCTCTCTCCCCCAAATCGCCGCGTGCCTGCCCTGTGTCGACCTTCGGATGTCAACTCCAATGCCACCGGCTCCGACCACAGCGGAAGCAGCGCGGGTCAGGCCAGCGGGGAAGCCCTCTCGGGAGATTGGGGTACGAGGGGAGCCCTGAGAAAGTCCCATCCAGGCTCCGTCCCTCTCACTCTGGGCAGAGCAGGCCACTGAGCCTCCGTCCACTCCTCTCCTTCACCTCCAGACCCCGAGGCCTCTGGGGGCGGGTCCGAGAGTGAGCCCTGCCTGCACCTTCACACCAGCAGAAGCACCGCTCCTCCTCTGCTCTCACCTTGACCGTGCGGATGTAATCCAGTGCATTGGGGACCAAGGACTCCAGTTCAGGGAATCTCTTCGAGTACTTATCCCGGATGAACTTATGGATGATGTCTAGGGTAAACGGGACAGGCGGGTGTCAGGTGAGACGGGAGGCAGACTCTGCTGGTTGGCCCTAACACCCACGTCCCCTTCTTCCTTTAGTAACTGAAGCCCTGGCATGTAGCCTGGCATACGGGCACCAGCATACAGGCCCCATTTTTCAGCCGCCCTTACCGCTAGGTGTGACCAGGGGAATTAGTTCTGGTCTGTAAAATGTAAGCTGCAGTGACATGTTCTTAAAAAAAAGAAGTGCCTTGCTGGTGGGAATGCAGAGGCGACGGCTGGACGTGGGGCAGTCCCCTCGCACCACGAGGCAGGTGGCCGACCAATAAGATGGAAAGGGCTGGGGCCTTACAGGCAGCCAAGCGGCCACGCCGTCCCCGAGTGCTCGCTCAGACTCATACGCGAGGGAGCCACGCCGTCCCCGAGTGCTCGCTCAGACTCATACGTGAGGGAGAACGCACTTCCTTCTTACTTACACCACTCCGTTACAGCAGGTGAACCTCGATCTGAGCTTGGGCTCAGCGGCAGGACCCTGGGAAAGGCCCGTGGGGAAGGGAGGGGGCATGAGGGGCGTCACAGGGGGCTGTCTCCGCCTGCCCCCAGCACTCACTCAGCTCGTTTTCGATCTCCACGGTCAGGTTGTTGGCATCCACGATGACGCGGTATTCAGGCGCTGCCTCCACCGGTCCCATCACTGTGAGGACACGGAGTGGCATGGGTGTGAGGATATAAATCCCTACCCCTTCTCAGGTCCCACAGCTGGGGGAGACGGAGGATGAGGCTGGGAAGGGTCAGGAAGGAGGGGCTGAAGAGTAAACCAGGGACAGGCTGACGTCTGCCTCCCAGATCCTGCAGCTGGAGGAGGCGGAGGACGAGGCTGGAGGGGGTCAGGAAGGAGGGGTTGAAGAGTAAAGCAGGCGACAGGCTGACATCTGCAGACATCCCTGAACTTGTGTTCCTGCCTCCAATCCCTCTCCCTCCACACCAGTCTAGACTTGACCCTACCTGCCCTGGAACTGACCGTCCGTCTGAAACCTCCTATGGCTCCCCATAGCCCCAAGGCTAATGACCAAGTCCCTAGACTGACATTCAAGGCCTGCCCAACTCCAGAAGCTCTGCAGGGACCAGTGCTGTGCCTGCGTTATCTACACCCACACCCGAGTACTCAGGACAGCACCTGGCACACAGGGAGCTGCCCAGTTCCTCTCTGCTGACTCAGCAACTCTGCGGTCTGGCCTCCCACCCTTCCCACCCCATCCTCTCATCCAGCCATAAAGGACTGGTCACAGTGCCCCAGACACCCACTCCTCCTGGCCTTTTTTTTTTGAGATGGAGTATCACTCTTGTTGCCCAGGCTAGAGTGTAGTGGCACGATCTCAGCTCACTGCAACCTCCGCCTCCTGGGTTCAAGTGATTCTCCTGCCTCAGCCTCCCAAGTAGTTGGGATTACAGGCGCCCGCCACCATGCCCCGCTAACTTGTTTTGTATTTTTAGTAGAGATGGGGTTTCACCATGTTGGGCAGGCTGATCTCGAACTCCCGACCTCAGGTGATCCACCAGCCTTGGCCACCCAGTGCTGGGACGACAGGCATGAGCCACCATGCAAGGCCCCTCTTGGCCTTTGCATATGCTGTTCCCTCTCCCCAGAGCATCCCTTACCCCATGTCTGTTTCTGGAAAACCCTTCTTTGTGCTTTAGTAATAAGAGGCCAGGCACAGTGGCTCACACCTGTAATCCCAGCACTTTGGGAGGCTGAGGCAGGAGAACTGCTTGAGCCCAGGAGTTCAAGAGCAACCTGGGCAACATAGGGAGACCCCATCTCTACAAATAATTAAAGAAAAAATAATTAGCCAGGCATGGTGGTGTATGCCTGTGGTCCTAACTGCCTGGGAGGCTGAGGCAGGAACACCTGAGCCCAGAAGGTCAAGGCTGCAGTGAGCTGCGATCGTGCCACTGCATTCTGGCCTGGGTGACAGAGTGAGACCCTGTCTCAAAAAACAAACAAAAAGATGTTGTGTTTAAATGTCATACAAATACTAACTGTCTGATGTCACCGCCAGTAGACAGCAGAGCTCAGACCTTACCCCAAGCAGGGTGGCTTCAGAATGTGTTCCTAACCCTGATGCTCAAAAGGCTCTTTAAGTCCTTAAGACTCCAGCAGTGACTCAGAATCCTTCCCTCCCTGTCTGGGAGGATCAGACGCCTCCTCCGTGTGCCCGCAGCACTCGTGCACCTCCAGTAAACGGGGACTGATCAGACGCGTCCTCCGTGTGCCCGCAGCACTCGTGCACCTCCAGTAAACGGGGACTGATCAGACGCGTCCTCCGTGTGCCCGCAGCACTCGTGCACCTCCAGTAAACGGGGACTGATCAGACGCGTCCTCCGTGTGCCCGCAGCACTCGTGCACCTCCAGTAAACGGGGACTGCCACCTGCCTGTGAGGTGTTTCACATCTTCCTCCCCCACCAGACACCAGGTGTGACAGGGTCTGACTCCATCCCTGAGCCTGGCCTGACATCAGGAAATGTCACTTTCTGTGTCCCATAACTCTCTGGATGGAGAAATTCCTCGGCCTGGCCTCTGGAACTTTGCAGGATCTGGTGCGCTCCAGAGCCTGCCCTCTCTCTCCAGATGCCTGAGGCCCCGGGCCGCCGCTGTCTGGGTCCCCTTCTCCCTTTCTTTGCCTGGCACATGCATTCACGCTCTAGAGTCCAATTCAGCTATCGATTCTTCCCTGGCACCTGGGGCAGGGTCAGCCAGTCCCTCCTGTGACTCCAGCGTCCCCAGCCTGGTACCACCCGCCGACAGCTGTCTGGAACCCGGCCTGCCTCTTCCACTAGACCTTGAGCACGTTGAGCGCAAAGACCCGGGCAATTCAACTGGGTGCCCAGGTAAACCTTAAAGCAAGTAAGCAGTGAGTCTCCCAAAACTCTGCCCTCCCACTACACTTCTTCCCCCAGAAACCTCCCATGGCTTCCTGTTGTCAACAAATTCCATTCAAGAAGAATGGGAAGGCCGGGCACGGTGGCTCACGCCTGTAATCCCAGCACTTTGGGAGGCCGAGGTGGGCGGATCACTTGAGGTCAGGAGTTCGAGACCAGCCTGGCCAACATGATGAAACCCCGTCTCTACTAAAAAATACAAAATAGCCAGGCATGGTGGTGCACACCTGTCATCTCAGCTACTCAGGTGGCTGAGGGAGGAGACTCACTTGAACCCGGGAGGCAGAGGTTGCAGTGAGCCAAGATCACATCACTGCACTCCAGCCTGGGCAACAGAGGGAGACTCCGTCTCAAGGAAAACGGAAAAAAAAAAAGAATAGGAATGGTAACAGGACTGCCCTCCTAAGAGTGAGTCTGAGCACTCACGAGATAAGCTAGTATTCTCTCAATTTGGAAGTAAGAAAAGGTTTTAGGTGATTCTTTAATAATTATATATCTATTTTTATACGGTGACTTTGTCTTTGCAAATGATACCAGTTTTCCATTCATGGTAGCAATTTGCTTCCTTTTTAGATAAATTTAAGAGAAAAAGTCCCAGACTCAAAGAATATGTTAAGCAAATAATAGGACAAGTGGCTTATAGATGTGGCAAAAACCCTGTAACTGGTCATGTGCATCAGTGAAGTCTGGGAACCCTCAAGCTAAGTCCCAGCATGACCAGGCTCAGCACACAGAAAGGACGTAAGAAGCATGAGCTTCGCAATGCAGTATATGTTTAGTGGAAAAGGGAAGGGGTTGGGGAGAAACAAACAAACAAACAAGAAAGAAGGCTCTGGAAAAGGCTGCGGGGGAGATACACCCAGCCGCAAGCAGCCAGGGAGCCTAGGGGCCTGGCAGGAGACATAGCAGATAGGGAAGGGCACAGAGTGGGAGGAAGCACCTTCTGAAGCTTTGGCTTGCTTGCTGATATACTCCTCGATCTTCATCATAATCTCAGCAAACTGCAGGAAAGGAGGGGAGAGTCAGAATCCAGGACTCTTCCCAAAGAAGCCTGTGTCACCCCCTTCTGGGAGATTCTGTCTAGAGCCCCCTGGCTAGGAACGCCTCTTGTCCTCTTACCATCTTACTGTCCCATAGCTTGGCGATGGTCTTGACCGAATCCCCGGAAAGATCCAGCTGTGTCTCCTCCTGCACATCCTCGATGGCTGGCTCCTCCTCTTCCTCCCCATAGCTTCCTCCTTCCTCCTCTTCTGCTGCCTCTTCGAGATCAGCTAAGAGCTCGTCTGCCAGAGACATCCCGAGGCCTGTGGGGAGGGACAGCAGGGTTCCCTAAAAACTTGCCCTGACCAAGTCCCTCCTTATTACTGGCGATGATTCTCCCCCAGAAAACCCTGGTCCTTCTTTATGAACCCCAGTAGCGTGCAGGCTCCACGACGACAGGTGCTTTAGTTTGTTTTGTTCACTGGCGAGTCTCCAGCTCCGACCTGTGTAAGACACAGCACACCCCTACGACCGCCACCTTGCTAAGACTTACCGGAACCAAGTGGTGTAGATTCCAAATGCATTTGCAAACTTTTTTTTTCCTTTCTTGCCTTTAGCCTTGAAAACATACTCTGAAATTCTTTGTTTCCTGCCTTTCCCACTAGACACTGTCTTGCAGTGATGGCTTATCCATGTGCTTACTTAGAAGTTCCAGGGGCTAATCTTTATTTATTTTTTTAAAGATGGAGTCTGGCTCTGTCACCCAAGTTGGAGCACAGTGGCACAATCTTGGCTCACTACAACCTCCACCTCCTGGGTTCAAGCAATTCTCCTGCCTCAGCCTCCTGGGTAGCTGGGATTACAGGCACCTGCCACCACGCCCAGCTATTTTTTTTTTTTTGTAGAGTCAAAGTTTCACCATGTAAGCCAGGCTGGTCTTGAACTCTTGACCTCAAGTGAGGGACCCACCTTGGCCTCCCAAACCATTGGGATTACAGGCGTGAGCCACCGCGCCTGGCCGCAGGGGCTAATCACGAAACAAACTACGTATGGAAACCCAGCTGCAAAACTCCAGAGATTACCTCAAGGCGATCAATCTAAAACCTGGCCATTATTGACATGATTCCAGCCCATGCTCCAGGTGGCCCATGACTCAAGACAGCCTTCAGAGAAAGACACACATACCCTGTACCCAGCACCATTCCTGTATGCCTCCGATTCAGAGTTCCCCTTTTTAAGCCCCTCTCCCCAGCCTACAGTTTGAAACGGTCTTTTAAAGACATTAGGTTGGCCATTTCTCATCTGTGACCATTTGATTAATAAAGCTTTACTTTCACCACCCCTCACTTCTCCTATTCTAGCCTCTGAGTAGCAGAAACTTGAGTTGGTTACATTATCAATTTCTTCCCACCTCCAGATCTTTGTACAAGGAGTCCCTTGTAACTACGGTGGCTCTTTCCTTCGCTTTGTTTTTTCTTTTCTTTTTTTTTTTTTTTTTTTTGAGACAATGTCTTGCTCTGTTACCTAGGCTGCAGTGCTGTGGCGCCATCATAGCTCCCTGCAGCCTCGACCACCTGGGCTCAAGCGGTTCTCCCACCTCAGCCTCCCGATAGCTGAGATGACAGGCACACACCAGTACACCCGGCTAATTTTTAAATTTTTCTGTAGAGACGGGGTCTCACTGTGTTGCTCAGGCTGGTCTCAAACTCCTGGGCTCAAGCGATCCTTTCACCTGGGCCACCCAAAGTGCTGGGATTACAGGAGTGACCCCCCGCGTCTGGCTCTCCTCACTCCTTAGCAGCCCAGCATCTCTTCAGCTTTCAGCGCTCACATTCCACCTCCCTGACCCACGGGCCCCCTTTAGACTAGAGGAGGTTGCTTTGTGATACGTGTCCCGCAGGCTCTGCGTGTCTACAGTAAGGCACTTCACACATTTGTGATTAATGAAGTAATTATTTGATAAAGCCTGTCTGCCAGGCATCAACCAAAGCTCTTAGAGGGCAGGGAACAATTTTTGCTCCTGCCACATCCCCAGGGCCACACCATGGTAGGAGCATATTAAGACTTTTAGGTAAACAAGCTGTAAAAGGCCGGGCACGGTGGCTCATGCCTGTAATTCCAGCACTTTGGGAAGCCCAGCCGGGTAGATCACCTGAGGTAAGGAGTTCGAGACCAGTCTGGCCAACATGGTGAAACCCTGTCTCTACTAAAAATACAAAAAATTAGCCGGGTGTGGTGGCGGGCGCCTGTAATCCCAGCTACTCGGGAGGCTGAGGCAGGAGAATCGCTTGAACCTGGGAGGCGGAGGTTGCAGTGAACCGAGATCGCGCCATTGAACTCCATTCTGGGCAACAACAGTGAAACTTCGTCTCAAACAAAACAAACAAACAAACAAACAAACTTGCCAGGCGCGGCGGGTCACGCCTGTAATCACAGCACTTTGGGACGCCGAGGCGGGCGGATCAAGAGATCAGGAGTTCGAGACCAGCCTGACCAACATGGGGAAACCTCGTCCCTACTAAAAATACAAAAATTAGCCGGGCGTGGTGGCGCGCGCCTGTAATCCCAGCCATTCTGGAGGCTGAGGCAGGAGAATCGTTTGAACCCTGGAGACGGAGGTTGCAGTGAGCCGAGATCGCGCCACTGCACTCCAACCTAGGCAACAGACCGAGACTCCGTCTCAAAACAAACAAACAACAACAACAAAAAAACCAAGCTGTAAAGGCCCGCCTTCCTCCTCACACACTTCTTCTCCCAGACCCAGGAGTCCGGCCTCCCGCTCCCCGTTCGTCTCCATCACACTCACCTCTCCTCTCCGCGCACCACTGTTTCTAGGAAATAAGCTTTCCCACAGCGTTCGTCGCTCACCGATGACGTCTCATGCTCGCGCCGTTATAGAGGTAAAGCTACGCTCTGATTGGTCCCCGCTCGCGATGTTCCTGGCCGCGTTTGAAACAACAACTTTATTAGCACCTGGCACTAGGCGGAGAGAGGCGGTAAGCAGCGAGGAGGAAAGGGGCTAATCGAACTCACGGCCCGCTGTGGACCAATCCTGCTAAGCGGAGAATTGCTGTGGCCAGATGACGGGGCGTCGAGACAAGAAGAAAGACGTTGGCAACTCAGAGGACTGGTTGCGACGTTAGACAAGAAAGCAAGGCCTTTAAGCAGGGATTCGGGTTGGACGTCGGGGTGGGCCAAAGCGAAGCCGGAAACAGGAAACTACAACTCCCACAAGGCCTAGGGCCACGTCCCGCCGTCCTCGGCCCCTGAGCCTGATGGGACAAGTAGTTTTGTGAACGGCTTAATCTAGAGATTTAAGAGGTTGGAAGCTAAGAGGCCCGGGGCTTCCGGAGGTCGCGGAGATGGAATTGGAGCAGAGAGAAGGGTAAGTGGCTGAGCCCTTGTGAAAAACTGCGAATCCCAGAAAACAGCAGCTGCATTGTGTGCAACCATATGACCTTTTACACTGAGGTCTGATGGGGGTTGTAGTTCATGCAACTGCTTTACCTTAGAACCCTTTTATGGACTGGGGTCTGGACTGGTGCATCCTGAGGGAGGAGAAGGCTAGGGGTTTGGACTGCTGGATCTGAGAGACGAGGAGGTTGGAAGCCAGGACTCTTGCGTCTGGTTGAGGGTTGGGGCTTGGACTCCCTGGGTTCTTGGAGAGAAAAAGTCTGGAGGTCTGGACTCTTGGATCCTGGGAGGAGGGGGTCAGGGCTTGAACCCTGTGGGTGCTACGAAGGAGGGGTTGGGGACCTGGTCTCCTGGGTCTGAGGGAGGAGAGCTGGGGGCCTGGATTCTACGGTCTGAGGGAGGAAGGGCTGGGGGCCTGGATCCCTGGGTCTGAGGGAGGAGGGGCTGGGGGCCTGGACTCCCAGGTCTTAGGGAAAAGGGGCTGGGGTTTGGGCTCCTGGTTCAGTGGGAGAAGGGACTGGGAGTCCAGGATCCAGGGCCCCTGACCCTTTCCCTGCCCCTCAGGACCATGGCAGCCGTGGGCTTTGAGGAGTTCTCAGCGCCGCCGGGCTCGGAGTTGGCGCTGCCTCCCCTATTTGGGGGCCACATCCTGGAGAGCGAGCTGGAGACGGAAGTGGAGTTTGTGTCAGGGGGTCTGGGGGGCTCAGGGCTCCGGGAGCGAGATGAAGAGGAAGAGGCAGCCCGGGGTCGGCGGCGGCGCCAGCGGGAATTAAATCGCAGAAAGTACCAGGCATTAGGACGGCGCTGCCGGGAGATCGAGCAGGTAGGTGAGTGCGGATCCCCCTGTTTTGGGGTCCCCTGGCGTAAACTACCGCCCCCCGCAATCTCTGCCTTTCCACACGCCCAGCCTTTCTTGGCTTGCTGAAGGAATCCTCCACTTATACGTATATTCACTCATTTAGCATGCATTATGTGTCTGGCCCTATGCCAAGGCCCTGGAAGGGCCATCTCCCGTGGAGCTTCCCTGACAACCCAGATGGGTCCTCCGATGTCTCCTGGGGGCCTCTCAATGTGTGGCACCGCTCACAGGTAAAAGCCCAGGCTCTTCACATCTCCCATACCCCTGCCAGGATTCACTCCTCTCGACTCATTCATTCTGCCTCTTGCATGTCTCTGGACCCTTCTCCTTCCCTCCATCCCCACGGCTGCCAAACTCCAACTCCAGCTGTCTAGGCTGAATGACTGCATCAGCCTCCTTGCTGAGAATGAGGGTGGGCCAGGCACGGTGGCTCATGCCTGTAACCCCAGCACTGTGGGAGGCTGAGGCAGGCAGATCACCCAAGGTTAGGAGTTCAAGACCAGCCTGGCCAACATGGTGAAACCCCATCTCTACTAAAATACAAAAAAATTAGCCGGATGTGGTGGTATGTGCCTGTAATCCCAGCTACTTGGGAGGCTAAGGCAGGAGAATCGCTTGAACCCAGGAGGCAGAGGTTGCAGTGAGCCAAGATCGCACCACTGCACTCCAGCCTGGGCAACAGAGTAAGGCTCCGTCTCAAAACAAAACAAAACAAAACAACAACAAAAACCTTCACAGCTTTTTATGAGATATTCTCCCACACCAAGTCCTTTCCAGGACTAATGTTCTGTTGCATGGCATGGAGCGGTTTTGAGCAGGGGAGGGATGGAGTCAGATCTGGGTTAAGGAAGATTCCTCACGCCCCCTGTGGAAGGCGGACCACACGGAGGAGGCCTGGACTGGGAGAGTGAGAAACTGAAGCCATCATGTTTCCGGAGATGGAAACAACGCCTGAGTGAGGGCGGGCGGCGGGTGTGTCCTGGGAGTGAGGCTGGTCTTGAACTCCTGACTCCTCCAAAGTGATCCACCACCTGGCTCAATTTTTTTTTTTTTTTTTTTTTTTAGGTTCTCTGTCACCCTAGTGGCATCTCACTCACAAGCTGCTCGGTTACGCCATCCCCCCCCCCACACCCCCCCACCCCCCCTATGCTAGGATTACAGGATGGCCATCCTACTTGACCGCCTCCCAAGGCACAGCTTGAGGCCCTGCCAACTCTTGATGACAGTGTTGGGAAGTTCTGTAAGGAGGGAGGCTAGAGGCCAGGGGCATATTCCAAACCCTGCTTAACAGATGGACACCAAGGCCCAAATGGACTCAATTGGAGCCTCTGCTCTTAATCCACCCCCAGGAATAGATTATTCCTATTTTACTAGCGTAGAAAATAAAGGCTCAGAGAGGTTAAGTAATGCACCCAAGCTCAGAGTTCAGCAGTGGCAGATCTGAGATTTTTTTTTGAGACAGGGTCTTGCTCTGTTGCCCAGGCTGGAGTGCAGTGGCATGACTGTGGCTCACTGCAGCCTCAACATCCTGGGCTCTAGCAATCTCAACCTCCAAAGGAACTGGGACTACAGCCACCAAGGCCAGATGATTTTTTTTTTTTGGTAGTGTTGGGGTCTCACTCTGTTGCCCAGGCTGGTGTCAAACTTGAGTGATCCTCCTGTCTTGGCCTCTCAAAGTGCTGGGATTATAGGCATGAGCCACTGTGCCAGGCCAGAGCTGAGACTTGAACTCCGGTCTTTTTCTTTCTTTTTTTTTTTCAGATGGGAGTTTCGCTCTTGTTGCCCAGGCTGGAGTGCAATGGTGTAATCTCGGCTCACCGCAACCTCCACCTTCTGGGTTCAAGCGATTCTTCTGCCTCAGCCTCCCGAGTAGCTGGGATTACAGGCATGCGCCACCACACCTGGCTAATTTTGTAGTTTTCTTTTTTTTTTTTTTAGTAGAGACGGGGTTTCATCATGTTGACTGGGCTGGTCTGGAACTCCTGACCTCAGCCTCTCGAGTAGCTGAGATTACAGGCATGCGCCACAACATCCGGGTAATTTTTGTATCTTTAGTAAAGATGGGGTTTCACCATGTTGGCCAGGCTGATCTCGAACTCCTGACCTTGAGTAATCTGTCCGCCTCGGCCTCCCAAGGCATTAGCCACCGCGCCTGGCCTGGTGTGTTTCGACTTAATGGGAGGTTCGGGGTCTCTGAGCAGGTAACAGTTGACTTAAGACTTGGAGTGGGGAGTGAGCCGTATGGACGGCTGGGGAGAGGGTCCAGGTAGAGGAACAGCATGTGGGAGGCCCCCACGGGAGGGCACTCAGGACTGTGGCATGGTGAGAGGGGAGCCGGAGGGAGGGCAAGGTGGAAGGACCTCAGCCCACACGATGGTCTTTGACCAGTCTCCCCGGAGCCTAGTACATACCCCATTAAACATCCGTTGAACAAATGAACGGGAGCCGTGGGATCCAGCTGATGGGAGTTCCCACCCCACAGGTGAACGAGCGGGTCCTGAACAGGCTCCATCAGGTGCAGAGGATAACTCGGAGGCTGCAGCAGGAGCGGAGGTAACCCCTTCTCCGTCCCCTCTGGGCCCCTAAGCCCCGGCTCCCAAACACCCCCAGTCCCTCTGGTCTCTCCCCACTCCCACTTCCACCCAACCCTCACAAGCCACAAGGAGGAGAGGCAGGAGATGAGGGCCGGGGCCTGAGGCAAACGGAGGAAGAGTGCGTTCGGTCTTGGAGGAGAGAGCTGAGCACTAGGACTGAGGGAGGGCCGGGTCCAGGGGACTGCGCGCCAGGACTGAGGGAGGGCCCAGGACCGAGGGAGGGCCGAGGACCGGCTGGAGGGGGCTGCGTGCTGGGACTGAGGGAGGGCCGGGTGCAGGGGGCTGCGCGCCGGGACTGAGGGAGGGCCGGCTGGAGGGGGCTGCTTCTCCTGAAGGGAGGGAACAGCACGATGGAAGGCACAAAATGCAAGTTTTTTTTTTTTTTTTTTTTTTTTTTTTTTTTGTGGTGTGACTCTAAGCAAGCAGTGTCCCTTCTCTGAGCTGTTTCCTATCAACTAAGGGCAGTGCCAGTATCATGAGGTTGTGGCGTGGTTAGGCCGGAGCTTCCCACTGTGCATCTCCACAAAACCTGCCCCGGTGCCTGCTGCCCCTGCCACTCACAGTGTCCCTGTCCCAGCAAAATGGGAGCAAGCTTGGTAGGAAGGGCTCCACCTTGCTGAGTCAACCACGGTTCTCATCTCGGTCCTCGGCTCAGGCTCGGCACAGTGACCCAGGGCTATGTGCTCTTCCCTGGAGCCCATTCTTGCCATCCTGGTCACCCGGCAGCCTGGGGTCTCCTGCCTTTCAGGCTGTTCCTTCTTGGCCGCCTTTGCTAGTTCATCCTCCTTTCCCCAAAGCTGAAACCTGCGGCTCCCAGGGTTCCTCTGTCCGCACCTGTGCTGTCCAGCACGGTAGCCGCTGGCCACGGGTGAGATTTTCACTTAAGTTGAAATAAGAACTCTGTCACTCTTGCCACACACCAAGTGCTTAGGAACAGCCATGGGCAGCCACTGGCTGCCGACTTGGACAGCAGATCAGAACACGCCCATCCTCTGGGAAGCGCAGCTGGGTCATGCGGGTCAACCACGTTAAAGGCCACCTAGGCCGGGCACAGCAGCTCACACTTGTAATCCCAGCACTTTGGGAGGCCAAGGCGGGTGGATCACGAGGTCAGGAGTTCGAGACCAGCCTGGCCAACACAGTGAAACCCTGTCTCTACTAAAACTACAAAAAAAAAAAAAAAAAATAGGTGGCACACACCTGTAGTCCCAGTTACTTGGGTACTCGGGAGGCTGAGGCAGGAGAGTCCCTTGAACCTGGGAGGCAGAGCTTGCAGTGAGCCGAGATTGCAGCACTGCACTCCAGCCTGGGTGACACAGCAAGACTCCGTCTCAAAAAAAAAAAAAAAAAAAGTCACCTAAATGCAGCCGACTTCTGAGTTCCATCCACAGCTTTCTGAGTCCTGTGTTCATTTGTCCGCCGCCTGCCGCACAGCCGTCCTGCTTATCCACTGTGCATCTGAAGTTAACCCTGACCTTCCCCCACATTTACCCCATGTCAGGGAATAATAACTCCACCTCCCACTGCCTGGAGCACTTTGCTTGTTTCTCTCAGCCCCACATCCATCCATCACAACCCGTCACCTCTACTCCTAGAATACATCCAGAACCCCGCCTCTTCTCACTCCTCCTCTGCCACCAACCCGGGCCTGGGGACACAGCCTCTGGCTTGGATTACTCCTCTCTGGCCTCCCTGCCTCTCTTTTGGCCCCAAGTCTCCTTTTAAAACAGCCTGGGTGAGCCCCACCTTTCCCTGTTTGTACCTTTAGTCAATTTTTTTTTTTTTTGAGACTGAGTCTCACTCTGTCACCCAGGCTGGAGTGCAGTGGCGCGATGTGGGCTCACTGCAAGCTCCGCCTCCCGGGTTCTCGCCATTCTCCTGCCTCAGCCTCCTGAGTAGCTGGGACTACAGACCTGTAGCCAAGATTTTTAAGATCAGGAGAGTTTATGAAAGGGATCAGCGTCCTTTCAGGTTAAAACATGCGAGAGTTAAGGAAGCATCTGTGTATGCAAAACCTCCCTGAATAATTGAGGACAGCTAAGTGAGAATCAGGCTTTCCGCACTGTTGGCCCGGAGCCCAGCCCCGTGGCTCTCAAGTGTGGCCCCTGGACTGGCAGCATCAGTGCCACCTGGGAACTTGGTGCAAATGCAAGTTCTCAGGCCCCGCCAGGCCTGCTGTATCTGAAACGTGGGACTAGTCCTTCTAACATGTGAGACAGACCAGGCCCCTCCTCTGCTCCTCTGCGGTGGCTCTCCGCTGACTCGGAGTAAAGGCGAACGTCCCGCAGCAGCCGACCAGGCCCTGCCTCAGAGGGCCCCTTACGCCCGCCCGCCTGCCTTCACTGGAAACCAGGCGCGTGTACTCGGCCCCCACGTCAGGGCGTCTCCACCTGCCGCTCCTTCGGCCGCTCCTTCCGCGGCTCCCTCGCCTGCTTGGTGAGGTGTCCGCCACCATCCTTTTGAAGTTCCAAGCCCGGTATCACCTGCCTTCTTCCCACCTTCTGACCTGTTGTGTTGGGCTGGTTTGCTTATTGTCTGTCTCCCCTGCAACCCTGACTCTGTAAGCACAGGCACCTTTGTTACCCGATGTGTCCTTGGCACAGCCGCTGGAACAGCACACAGGGCAGAGTGGGCGCTCGGTGCATGTGGAACCAATGAGGTCTGTGTGAAAAACATCCTGGCCGGGCGCGGTGGCTCGCGCCTGTAATCCCAGCACTTTGGGAGGCCGAGGCAGGCGGATCACCTGAGGTCAGGAGTTCAAGACCAGCCTGGCCAACACGGTGAAACCCTGTCTCTACTAAAAATACAAAAATTAGCTGGGCATGGTTGCAGGTGCTTGTAATCCCAGCTACTCGGGAGGCTGACGCAGGAGAATCACTTGAACCCGGGAGGTGGAGGTTGTGGTGAGCCGAGATCACACCACTGCACTCCAGCCTGGGCAACAGAATGAGATTCCACCTCAAAACAACAAACCTGCCCAGGCGCTGGTGCGGGGGAAGCATCCCATCAATTAGAGCTTTAAAACTAAGGATCTGCCGGGCGCGGTGGCTCAAGCCTGTAATCCCAGCACTTTGGGAGGCCGAGACGGGCGGATCACGAGGTCAGGAGATCGAGACCATCCTGGCTAACACAGTGAAACCCCGTCTCTACTAAAAAAAATACAAAAAACTAGCCGGGTGAGGTGGCGGGCACCTGTAGTCCCAGCTACTCGGGAGGCTGAGGCAGGAGAATGGCGTGAACCCGGGAGGCGGAGCTTGCAGTGAGCTGAGATCCGGCCACTGCACTCCAGCCTGGGCGACAGAGCGAGACTCTGTCTCAAAAAAAAAAACAAAAAACAAAAAAAAAACTAAGGATCTCTGGAGGCAGGGGCTGGGGAAAGAAGAGAAGGGGGTGTTGATAAGAGGTGAGGTCATTAGGAGCGTTCTGCACTCCCCTCTTCAGTGATCAATAAAAATGATAACTCACATATCAATGTTTACTGAGTGCCGATATCACAGCAAGTACAGAAATCGTCTGGTGTCACTACTTCGGTGTCACCACTGCAACATCCAGCCCAGGTGAGGGTTTCACGTCGTTGCAGAGCAGGAAACTCAGCCTCAGAATGGTCGTCTTGTCTTGCTTGAGATCTCAAGGCGGGTCAAGGGCGTGGCTCCCAGGCCTCCAATGCCAGAGCTCAGGACCGTCTGGGTCCAGGACAGCTTTGGTGTTGAGTGGAGTGAGAGCTGAGCTCTATCTTGTGGCCCTTTTCCCAGCTGCTAGGAGGTAACTGAGTCCATTGGTGGCTTCTCCCCCTGAGCAGGTTCCTCATGAGGGTGCTGGACTCCTATGGGGATGACTACCGGGCCAGCCAGTTCACCATTGTGCTAGAGGTGAGTGTTGGGTCTCCAGGAGGGTCAGGAACTGGGAGCCCAGGACGCAGCCATCACCTACCTCCCCCTCCTCCCCGCCAGGATGAGGGCAGCCAGGGCACGGATGCTCCCACCCCAGGCAATGCTGAGAATGAGCCTCCAGAGAAAGAGGCACTGTCCCCGCCCAGAAGGACTCCTGCACCCCCGGAACCTGGCAGCCCAGCGCCCGGCGAGGGGCCCAGTGGGCGGAAGAGGCGGCGAGTGCCGCGGGATGGACGCCGAGCGGGAACTGCGCTGACTCCAGAGCTGGCTTCAGTGCAGGTGAGGAAGTGGGGGGACTCAAGGGGAGCGACCGGGGCCCCAGAGCTGGCTCCGGTGCAGGTGAGGAGGGGGGGACTCAAGGGGAGGGGCTAGGGCCAGGGCTGGGCCGAGTCAGGTTCAGGGCTCTTGGGTTTTGGTTCTGCACCCTGAGGGGCCCAGGGCTGGGGAAAGTTGAAGAAAGCAGGTAACCAGGATGTGTTGGAGGCCTAGGATCAGGCAGGGAAGTAGTTGGAAAAAGTGGGGCAAAGGCTTGGGTGAAAGGAGGCAAAGTTGGAAAGGGAAGGAGGAAGACCTGGAGAAGGAAAAATAGCTAGACAAGGCTAGGAGTAGAGAAGAAGGAAGGATCAAAGGAAGGATCAGAGAAGATGGGGTGGAAGGGAAGGCCCAGTGCGGGGAGGAAAGCTGGAAGAACATCTGGACCAGGAACACTGGGATTGCTCTGAGGTGTGAGGAGGAAGGTGACTGGCCTAGGAAGACAAGAATGGTGAGGCTGGCCGGGTGCAGTGGCCCATGTCTGTAATCCCAGCACTTTGGGAGGCCTACATGGGGGATCACTTGATGCCAGGAGTTTGAGACTAGCCTGAGCAACATACTGTGACTCCCATCTCTACCAAAAAGAAAAAAACATGTTAGGCATGATTGGCATGTGCCTGTAGTCCCAGCTGCTTGGGAAGCTGAGGTGGGAGGATCACTTGAGCCTGGGAGGCAGAGGCTGCAGTGAACTGTGATGGCACCACTGCACTCCAGACCCTGTCTCTTTAAAAATCAAAACAAAACAAAAACAAAAATGGTGAAGCTGATGGGATTTTCTGGATTCTCAGGCCTATTAACACCTTGTTCCTTCTCTCCCGCAGATTAAGGTCGAGGAAGACTTTGGCTTTGAAGCAGATGAGGCCCTGGATTCCAGCTGGGTTTCTCGGGGTCCAGATAAACTGCTGCCCTACCCAACTCTGGCCAGCCCAGCCTCTGACTGACCCATGCCCAATAAACTGAGCCCACATTCACCCTGGCCACCGTCTACTTGTTCCCACCTCTGATCACACACATGCCACGCTCTGGGGTTGGTGTTCACATTTTTATTGGGAGCCGTGGGAGGGGCCGCCTCTGTCAGTGAAGGTGCTCACAGTTTCTTAAGCCACTCCAGGCTGGGGCCCTGAGGGTCCTGGGGGTGGCTGGGCACGTCCGGCATGTTCCCATCATCACGGACGGGCACTGTGGGACAGGAGGTGGGCCACTGAGACCAGCATGTCTCCAGAGTCCTGGAGAGAAGAGCTGGTCTGTCGCTTTATGTTCAGAGAGGGAAGGGGGACCCCAGGGCTGAGAGGAGGGGAAGGGTCAGAGAATCAGTGATGCAGAAAGAGGCAGGAAATACAGAGACTGAGAGACATGGAAAACCAGAGAGCGAGAGAGAGAGAGCGAGCTAGGGTCGAAAGAGATGGGGAAACAGGACAGAAACCTGAAAAGATGGAGACAGAAAACAACACAGATGGGAACCCAGAAAGGTAATAGAAACTCGAAGCACAAACACAGAATAGGATACGAATTATATCTCAATTCTTAAAAAATGGAACGGGGGGAATCCAGGCACCACTGCTGAATCTCTGATGCCTGCTCAGGAAACAGCTGCCCGTAACTGCCCCTACCCCAGCACAGGGAGGCTGGGCCCATCCCAGGGATCCCTGCCGGGCCCCTACTCACCTGGGTAGTTGTAGGGCGTGGCCTCGTTGATCATGATGGAGTACTTGACGTAGGGGCTGAATGTGGGCATAATTATAGCTGTGGAGAGACACAGGGGTGAGCCCCAGGGGAAGGTGGCTCTGAGGAGAGGGAAAGAGAATCTGAGCCTTGGCAAAGATAAACTGCAAAGCGGGAGGGCAGCGGGGAGGGCCTCCAGGAGGATCCTTGGTACCCTGAGATCCCTACTTATAGACAGGAGGGCTTAAAACTCTTTCGGGGGGTTAAGTGGAGGTAGGGGTGGGAGTCTAACACTCACAGATACATGGGGCCTAGAGGAGGAAGCACTGGGGTTGGTCGTGGAATGAGTACGTTTTGAGTGTAGGGGTCATCATGGAGCATCCTGTGGGTAGTGTCATGGGACTATTCTGGAGAAATTAAGACTGTTACACATTTGGCCAGGCACAGTGGCTCATGCCTGTAATCGCAGCACTTTGGGAGGCAAAGGTGGGCAGATCACCTGAGGTCAGGAGTACACGACCAGCCTGGACAACATGATGAATCCCCATCTCTACTAAAGATACAAAAATTAGCCAGGCATGGCGGCAGGAGCCTGTAATCTCAGCTCCTCAGCAGGCTGAGGCAGGAGAATCCCTTGAGCCTGGGAGGCAGAGGTTGCAGTGAGCCCACATTGTGCCACTGCACTCCAGCCTGGGCAACAGAGACTCTGTCGCAAAAAAAAAAAAAAAAAAACTGTTACAAACTGGAGAAGAAAGGTTTGGACAAACAACAGTCACTGACAAGTCACAGTCCATCTAGGGTGGGAGCCAGGAGTCCCGGGGGATGGGGTACAGTGCATAAGAAGAATGTTCTAGGCCAGCACTGTCTGACAGATGGTAAGACCCAGGTATATAATTTTATATCTTTTAGTAGCCACAGTAAAAATGAAACAAATTTTAAGAAACATACTTGGCTGGGTGAGGTGGCTAACGCCTGTAATCCCAGGATTTTAGGAGGCTGAGGCGGGTGGATCACCTGAGGTCAGGAGTTCGAGACCAGCCTGACCAATGTGATGAAACCCTGTCTCTACTAAAAATACAAAAAATTAGCTGGTGTAGTGGCGTGCACCTGTAATCCCAGCTACCCAGGAGGCTGAGACAGGAGAATCGCTTGACCCCGGGAGGCAGAGGTTGCAGTGAGTTGAGATCAGGCCATTGCACTCCAGCCTAGACGAAAGTAAAACTCCGTCTCAAAAAAACAAAAACAGACCAAAAAAAACCATGGTATATCCAAACATCACTTCAACATGTAATCAACAAAAGACGATTGGTAGTTTACATACTTAGTTATACTAAGTGTTTGAAATCCAGTATGTCTTATACCACCTCAATGCATACCAGCCTCATTTCAAGTGCTCAGTGGCCAGGTGTGGCTGGTGGCTGCCAGATCGAACAAGTGTTCAGAACCTTACCTAGTGCCTGGCTGGTGGACCAACAGTACTGACAAGACCTGGCAACTCTTCAAAAATGCAGAATCCCATGCCCCATCCCAGACCTACAGAATCGAGAACCCACAGTTTGGCCGGGCGCAGTGGCTCACTCCAGTAATCCCAGTACTTTGGGAAAGCGGATCACTTGCGGTCAGGAGTTCAAGACCAGCCTGAACAACATGGTGAAACTTCATCTCTACTAAAAACACAAAAATTAGCCAGGCGTGGTGGTACTTGCCATCCCTGTAATCCCAGGGGTGAGCAGTGGCTCACCCAGCACTTTGGGAAGCCGAGGAGGGCGGATCACGAGGTCAGGAGATCGAGAACATCCTGGCTAACATGGCGAAACCCTGTCTGTCTCTTCTAAAAATACAAAAGAATTAGCCGGGCGTGGTGGTGGGCGCCTGTAGTCCCAGCTACTCGAGAGGCTGAGGCAGGGGAATCCCTTGAACCCGGGAGGCTGAGTTTGCAGTGAGCTGGGATCGCCTCACTGCACATCAGCCTGGGTGACAGGGCGAGACTCCGTCTCCAAAAAAAAACCAAACAAACAAAAAGGCCCCATCCGTGCAGGGACTGCGGTGCTAATTAAGGTGTAAGCAGCACAGTTCCAGGGCAGAGGGCTGAGGTTTTCAATCAGCAAGACGACACATTAGGATCATAGGGGGATTTTCACAAGACACAGATTTCCCAGCCCCACCACCAACCAAACCAACTCAATTCAGAATGTGGGAGAGGGGAGATGAAAGGGAGGAGGAGGATCTGGACTTTATTTTTGGTGCTCAGGTGTTGCTAATGTATAAGCAGGGTTGAGAACGTCTCATTTAGAGGGGTTAAGAGCGTATTGGGTAGGGGGAGAGGAATGCGGGGGGCGGTGGAGGCGTTATAATGGGTATGGGGATAGACAAGGGGATGTCGCGGGGGTGCAGACACACTGGAGGGGAGCCGAGGGAGGCGACAGGGCTTTAGAGGTACAAGATGAAGGGATGTAGGGGGACGGGGGTGGACGATGCAAGTTTGCGCCTGAAGCACTCACGCACCGAGGCCCCCGATGACGAAGGACGCGACCAGCACTGGCTCCTTGTCCCAGGCATTCTTGAGGAAGGCGCCGAGTCCTGAAGGGGTGGCGAGGAGGGTCACCCCTGCAAGTGGCTGCCCCCCGTGACCTCTAACCCTCTCGTGCCACCCCTACCCTGGAGGAGCCCCCTCGTGACTTCTGCGTCCCCCTCCAGCACGGACCCCATCGCCTCCACCACTGCCCTGCCGCACCTCAGTCCCAGGACCGCCCGGAGGTTCCCGGTACCACCGAGCCCCGCGCGCCACCGGCACTTACTCGCAGCCATCTTGGTCTCGGCGGCGACACCGGCGAGGACGCGGAGCACTCTGGGAGTTGTGGTCCCTACGCGCGAGAAACCCCCCCCCCCCCTCCCCGGGTTGCGCTTGCGCCCTGGAGCAGAAGTGGAGGAAAAAGCCAGGACGCGGAGCACTCTGGGAGTTGTGGTCCCTCCGTGCAAGGTACCGCTTTCGGAGTCTGCGCGTGCGCACTAGCGCAGAACAAAGATGGAGCAGCAGAGGTAAAGGAAGTAGTGCCAAGAGCAAGCGCAAGCCTGACTTTGCGGACCTGCGTGGAATCTCCTTAGTCTCTGCCTAGAAGTCGCTCCGGGGTGACTAGTCCTCCTACTGAGACCACCTAAGGCGGAACAAAATAATCCTCATTTTATAGTTTATGTATGAAAGCCCATTTTACAGATGAAGAAACTGAGCCCGGGAGAAGGTGAATGACTAACCTTTCCTTCGAGGTCTCAGCTCAACATCAGCTCGTCCTGGAAGCGCTAGGTCTCATCCCAGATGGGTTAGGAGCTTTCTGCGGGCTCTCACAGTGCCCTGTTACCGCCAGTATAGCTCAGATCACTGAAGAAACTGACCTGGTCTGGGTCTGTCAGTCGGACTGGTAGCAGCTGCTTGAGAGCAGTAATGGAGTCTGAGTGCCCTCTGTGCCTGCCAACATCGCACAGCGAGGGTCTGCCACGTAATAGGTGCTAATCTTTTTTTTTTTTTCCTGAGACTGAGTCGCCCAGGCTGGAGTGCACTGGCACGATCTCGGCTCACAGCAACCTCCGCCTCCGGGGTTCAAGCGATTCTCCTGCCTCAGCCTCCTGAGTAGCTGGGATTACAGGCGCGCGCCTCCACACCAGGCTAATTTTTCTATTTTTAGTAAAGACGGGGTTTCTCCATGTTGGTCAGGCTGGTCTCCAACTTCCCGACCTCAGGTGATCCGCCCGCCTTGGCCTCCCAAAGTGCTGGGATTACAGGCGTGAGCCACCGAGCCCGGCCTATAGGTGCTAATTTTAATCAATCAATCAATCAATCACAGTATCACAGCAAGAGCCTGGCACATAATAGGTGCTAATTTTTATCTGTCAACCAATCTATCGATCAATTAATCACAGCAAGGGCCTGGCACGTAATTGGTGTTAATTTTTATCTATCAATCAATCACACAAGGGCCTGGCACTTAACAGGTGCTAATTTTTATCTATCTATCTATCATAGCAAAGGCCTGGCACATAATAGATGCTAATTTTTATCCATCTGTCTATCTATCACAGCAAGGGCCTGGCACATAATAGATGCTAATTTTTATCTATCTATCTATCTATCTATCTATCTATCTATCTATCTCAGCAAGGGCCTGGCACATAATAGATGCTAAATTTTTTTCTCTTTTTTTCTTTCTTTCAATCACAGCAAGGGTCTGGCACATAATAGGTGCTAATTTTTTTCTATCAATCAATCACAGCAAGAGTCTGGCACATAATAGGTTCTTTTTTTAAAAACAGATATCTTTCTGTCTGTCTGTCTGTATTTGAAGACATGGTCTCACTCTATCACCCAGGCTGGAGTGTGGTGGCACAATTTATTTATTTTTTAGACAGGGTCTCGCCCAAGCTGCTCTTGAACTCTTGGGCTCAAGCGATACTCCTGCCTCCGCCTCCCGACTAGTATTTGTTTCTAGAGTTAAATTAATGAACACCACAGGTTATGACTGACCCCCCTGCTAACCTTTTCCACAGCGCTATAGGGCTATGACACAGTCACCCACAGGCCCCCACCTCGATCCTCTCTTCCCTAAACGACGATCTGGGTCTGGCTTTCTGATGTTTCCTCATTTCCTGGGAGGGGAGAGGATGCAACCAAGCCCTGATTCCAGCTCCAGCAGATATCTGCCTACCATGGCCCTGGTGCTGATCCTCCAGCTGCTGACCCTCTGTGAGCCGCCCCTTCCTTCTCCCTGGGTTCCTGGATGGGGTGGGGGGCAGAAAGAGAGAGAGAATGGAGACCTAGACACCCTGCAGGGGGACCAGGCAGCACTAGCTGGAGCTTTGGGATTCTAGGTTCAAATAAAGAACAGGACTGGGGCCCAGACCCCTGGGTCCTAAAGCAAGGGAACACAGAGTCTCGAAAGAGGAAGGAGGCGGGGACAGGTATCTCTGGATCTTGAGGCAGGAAGAGGATAGGGGACAGGGAGGACGCCTAGATTCTCATATGGGAGGGGGATGGAAGCCAGGACTCCTGATTCCCTGGGAAAAGGGGGCTGGGAACAGGGCTCTTAGCTCCTGAGAGAAGACGGAAATGGGGACCCAGATTCCTGAACCCAGGAGAGGAGAAGCTCTGCCCCCTGGAAAGGTGGAGTTCAAGGGCCTGAACTCTTGGGTGCCCAGGCCAGAGGGGTCCGCGTTCAGACTTCTTCAGTAGGTGGGCAATGGAAGTCCGAATTTCTGTCTACGGAGACAGGAGGAGGGAGGGATAAGATTCTCATTTCCCAGAGGAGAGAGGAGCTGGGGACTCAGATTCTGGGGCTACCAGTGAGATGGGGCTGGCCACAAAGGGCTTTGAAAGGAACTCGCTGTCAGGCACAGTGGCTCACGCCTGTAATCCCAGCACTTTGGGAGGCTGAGGCGGGCGGATCACCTGAGGACAGGACTTCAAGAACAGCCTGACCAACATGGCAAAACTCTGTCTCTACTAAAAATACAAAAATTAGCCTAGTGTGGTGGCGGGCACCTGTAGTCCTGGCTACTAGGGAGGCTGAGGCAGAAGAATCGCTTGAACCTGGGAGGCAGAGGTTGCAGTGAGCTGAGATCGCACCACTACACTCCAGCCTGAACAACAGAGCAAGACTCTGTCTCAGACAAAAAAAAAAAAAAAAAGGAACTAGTCCCTCAACCTTCTACAGGGCCTCTGTGTCACACGGACATTACTCCATCTGGTGAGTAGCTGCCCCATCCACTCTCCTTTATGTCGCTGACACCCCTTTTCCAACTACTCAGATTTTATTTTGGTGCCCAATCCCATCCCAGAAGTCCTTATTTTCCTCCCTCCCTCCCTCCATTCCTTCCTTCTTTTCTCATTCCCCTTAGTGGTCATTATAGGTGAGTACTGAAGAGCAGGAACTTCTGAGGCAGAGGCCTCAGTTTCACCATCGTATTCATTTATACGACTTTGAACAAGCCACAGCTTGCTAAGACTCCATTTCCTTCTCTGTAAAATGGGCCGCTGTGAAATTTTATCAAATCATATGTGCAAAACCCTGAGCCTGGCACAGTGCAGGGCTTAAGAAATAGGATCTTGGACCGGGCACAGTAGCTCATGTCTGTAATCCCAGCACTTTGGGAGGCCGAGGCGGGCGGATCATGAAGTCAGATTGAGACCATCCCGGCTAACACGGTGAAACCCCATCTCTACTAAAAATAAAAAAAAAATTTAAAAAATTTAAAAAAAAATTAGCCGGACATGGTGGGACGCGTCTGTAATCCCAGTTACTCAGGAGGCTGAGGCAGGAGAATCGCTTGAACCTGGGAGGCGGAGGTTGCAGTGAGCCGAGATCGCGCCACTGCACTCCAGCCTGGGTGACAGGGCGAGACTCCGTCTCAAAAACAAAAAAACAAACAAAAACCTCTTGGAGATATTTCAATGTCACTATAGCTATTTCTACCTTTTTATTTTATTTTATTTTATTTTATTTTATTTATTTATTTTGAGATGAGTCTCTGTCGCCCAGGTTGGAGTGCAGTGGTACGATCTCAGCTCACTGCAAACACCTCCTGGGTTCAAGGGATTCTCCTGCCTCAGCCTCCCGAGTAGCTGGGACTACAGGCATGCACCACAGTGCCCAGATAATTTTTGTATTTTTAGTAGAGACAGGGTTTCACCATGTTGGCCAGGCTGGTCTGGAACTCCTGACCTCAGGTGATCCCTCTGCCTTGGCCTCCCAAAGTGCTGGGATTACAAACATGAGCCCCCTCACCTGACCCTTATTTTTATTTATTTATTTTTAAAGACGCTTCATTCTGTCACCCAGGCTGGAGTGCAGTGGCTCTATCATAGTTCATTGCAGCTTCGAACTCCTGGGCTCAGGCAATCCTCCAGCCTCAGCCTCCCAAAGTGCACGTCATCATGGAGTTCTCGCTCTGCTGCTCAGGCTGCAGTGCAGTGGCATGATCTTGGCTAACTGCAACCTCCGCCTCTAGGGTTCAAGCAATTCTCCTGCTCAGCCTCCCAAACAGCTGGGACTACAAGCTAGCACCACCACACCCGACTAATTTTTGTGTTTTTAGTTGAGACAGGATTTCACCATGCTGGCCAGGCTGGTCTTGAACTCCTGACCTCAGGTGATCCACCCACCTTGGCCTCCCAAAGCGCTGGGATTACAGCCATAAGCTACCACACCTGGCACCCTTCCTATACTCTTGTGTGATTTGTGAATAAGTGATGTCTGCCAGTACTGTCATTTGTCCTCCAGTTTTGTCTTTTAGCATACACAACTTAAGAAATTTGAAGTGGTCAAATTAATTAATCTTCCATAGAACTTCTTATTTTATATTTTAAGAAGCCTTCCTTGCCCCAAGACAAATATATTTTCCTATAGTTTTTTGAATAATTTTATAGTTAAAAAAATGAAACACAGGTAGGTCTTTAATTAATCTGAAAGTTGTTTTGGGAAATGGTGTGAGGTAGGGATCCAACTTTTTTTTTTCTTCCAAATAGTAAGTTTTGGCAACTCTTGAAATACTATATTGCAAATATTCTGGAAAATTATTTAAAATTAGAGTTCTGGCTGGGTGTGGTGGCTCACACCCGTAATCCCAGAACTTTGGGAGGCCAAGGTGAGAGGATTGCTTGAGGCTGGTAGTTTAAGACCAGCCTGGGCAACATAGGGAGACATCCCCATCTCATTACTTAAAAAAAAAAAAAAAAAAAAAATTACAGAGTTTTGGGACCTGACTACTGTGTTTACAAACTGTGGAGTAAAGCTCAGAAGTTTCTGTCCTGCCCCCTCTGATTTGCACCTGGTTTTAACAAGCCGTGATTGTAGTCCAGTCTCTCCCTGATTTTACAAACAGGAAACTGAGACTGAGAAAGAGGCAGTAATCGTTCAAGGTGATTTTCCTCCTTCCCCAACTTCCCTGTCATCTTCTGGGGCTCCCAGGAGGCCCGAGGACCCAGGCAGCCCCGTTTATTCAGTCCCCCCAGCTTTATACCCCAAGCCATGGCTGGGAGCTCAGCCCGGCTACAGTTGTGACCCCTGGGGTCAATGTGACCTTGAGGTGCCGGGCACCCCAACCCGCCTGGAGATTTGGACTTTTCAAGCTTGGAGAGATTGGTCCCCCTCTCTTCCGGGATGTGTCCTCCGAGCTGGCAGAATTCTTTCTGGAGGAGGTGACTCCAGCCCAAGGGGGAAGTTACCACTGCTGCTACCGGAGGCCAGACTGGAGGCCGGGTGTCTGGTCCCAGCCCAGCGATCCCCTGGAGCTGCTGGTGACAGGTGAGGTCCTGGGGTCAGGGAGGAGAAGCGGGTGGAACAAGGGAGGTGGGGGAGGGACAGAGAGATACAGGTAAAGAGAGAGCGAGGCAGGCAAACTGACAGATTCACAGACACAAGAAGAAAGACACAGAGATACTGGGGGAGAGAGGGGGCGGGGCAGACAGAAAGAGAGAGAGAGGTAGAGTGAGGGGAGAGAGAAAGAGACAGAGGCAGAAGGAGAAAGAGAGGCAGAGAGAAAGAGAGACCGAGGCAGAGAGAGAGACAAAGAGAAAGAGACAGAGGCAGAGAGAGTAAGAGAGAGACAGGCAGAGAGAAAGAGAGAGACAGGCAGAGAGAGAGAGAGACAGGCAGAGAGAAAGAGAGAGACAGGCAGAGAGGAAGAGACAGGCAGAGAGAAAGAGAGAGACAGGCAGAGAGAGAGAGACAGGCAGAGAGAGAGAGACAGGCAGAGAGAAAGAGAGAGACAGGCAGAGAGAGAGAGGCAGAGAGAAAGAGACAGGCAGAGAAAGAGACAGGCAGAGAGGAAGAGAGACAGAGAGAGAGAGAGACAGGCAGAGAGAAAGAGAGACAGGCAGAGAGAAAGAGAGAGACAGGCAAAGAGAAAGAGAGAGACAGGCAGAGAGAAAGAGGGAGACAGGCAGAGAGAGAGAGACAGGCAGAGAGAAAGAAAGAGACAGGCAGAGAGAAAGAGAGAGACAGGCAGAGAAAGAGAGACAGGCAGAGAGAAAGAGAGAGACAGGCAGAGAGAAAGAGAGACAGGCAGAGAGAAAGAGAGAGACAGGCAGAGAGAGAGACAGGCAGAGAGAGAGAGAGAGACAGGCAGAGAGAGAGAGAGACAGTCAGAGAGAAAGAGACAGGCAGAGAGGAAGAGAGAGATGGGCAGAGGAAGAGAGAGACAGGCAGAGAGAGAGAGAGACAGGCAGAGAGAAAGAGACAGGCAGAGAGAAAGAGAGACAGGCAGAGAGAGGAAGAAAGAGACAGGCAGAGAGAAAGAGACAGGCAGAGAGAAACAGAGAGACAGGCGCAGAGAGAAAGAGAGAGACAGGCGCAGAGAGAGAGAGACAGGCAGAGAGGAAGAGAGAGACAGGCAGAGAGGAAGAGAGACAGGCAGAGAGAGAGAGAGACAGGCAGAGAGAGGAAGAAAGAGACAGGCAGAGAGAAAGAGAGAGACAGGCAGAGAGAAAGAGAGAGACAGGCAGAGAGAAAGAGAGACAGGCAGAGAGAGAGAGAGACAGGCAGAGAGAGAGAGAGAGAGAGGCAGAGAGGAAGAGAGAGACAAGCAGAGAGGAAGAGAGAGACAGGCAGAGAGAGAGAGAGACAGGCAGAGAGAAAGAGAGACAGGCAGAGAGAGGAAGAAAGAGACAGGCAGAGAGAGAGACAGGCAGAGAGAAAGAGACAGGCAGAGAGAGGAAGAAAGAGACAGGCAGAGAGAAAGAGAGACAGGCAGAGAGAAAGAGACAGGCAGAGAGAAAGAGAGACAGGCAGAGAGGAAGAGAGACAGAGAGAGAGAGACAGGCAGAGAGAAAGAGAGACAGGCAGAGAGAAAGAGAGAGACAGGCAGAGAGAAAAAGGGAGACAGGCAGAGAGAAAGAGAGAGACAGGCAGAGAGAGGAAGAAAGAGACAGGCAGAGAGAAAGAGAGACAGGCAGAGAGAAAGAGACAGGCAGAGAGAAAGAGAGACAGGCAGAGAGAAAGAGACAGGCAGAGAGAAAGAGAGAGACAGGCAGAGAGAAAGAGACAGGCAGAGAGAAAGAGAGAGACAGGCAGAGAAAGAGAGACAGGCAGAGAGAAAGAGAGAGACAGGCAAAGAGAAAGAGAGAGACAGGCAGAGAGAAAGAGGGAGACAGGCAGAGAGAGAGAGACAGGCAGAGAGAAAGAGAGAGACAGGCAGAGAAAGAGAGACAGGCAGAGAGAAAGAGAGAGAGAGGCAGAGAGAAAGAGAGACAGGCAGAGAGAAAGAGAGAGACAGGCAGAGAGAGAGACAGGCAGAGAGAGAGAGAGAGACAGGCAGAGAGAGAGAGAGACAGTCAGAGAGAAAGAGACAGGCAGAGAGGAAGAGAGAGATGGGCAGAGGAAGAGAGAGACAGGCAGAGAGAGAGAGAGACAGGCAGAGAGAAAGAGACAGGCAGAGAGAAAGAGACAGGCAGAGAGAGGAAGAAAGAGACAGGCAGAGAGAAAGAGACAGGCAGAGAGAAACAGAGAGACAGGCGCAGAGAGAAAGAGAGAGACAGGCGCAGAGAGAGAGAGACAGGCAGAGAGGAAGAGAGAGACAGGCAGAGAGGAAGAGAGACAGGCAGAGAGAGAGAGAGACAGGCAGAGAGAGGAAGAAAGAGACAGGCAGAGAGAAAGAGAGAGACAGGCAGAGAGAAAGAGAGAGACAGGCAGAGAGAAAGAGAGACAGGCAGAGAGAGAGAGAGACAGGCAGAGAGAGAGAGAGGCAGAGAGGAAGAGAGAGACAAGCAGAGAGGAAGAGAGAGACAGGCAGAGAGAGAGAGAGACAGGCAGAGAGAAAGAGAGACAGGCAGAGAGAGGAAGAAAGAGACAGGCAGAGAGAGAGACAGGCAGAGAGAAAGAGACAGGCAGAGAGAGGAAGAAAGAGACAGGCAGAGAGAGAGACAGGCAGAGAGAAAGAGAGACAGGCAGAGAGAAAGAGACAGGCAGAGAGAGACAGGCAGAGAGGAAGAGAGACAGAGAGAGAGAGACAGGCAGAGAGAAAGAGAGACAGGCAGAGAGAAAGAGAGAGACAGGCAGAGAGAAAAAGGGAGACAGGCAGAGAGAAAGAGAGAGACAGGCAGAGAGAGGAAGAAAGAGACAGGCAGAGAGAAAGAGAGACAGGCAGAGAGAAAGAGAGACAGGCAGAGAGAAAGAGACAGGCAGAGAGAAAGAGAGACAGGCAGAGAGAAAGAGACAGGCAGAGAGAAAGAGAGAGACAGGCAGAGAGAAAGAGACAGGCAGAGAGAAAGAGAGAGACAGGCAGAGAGAGAGAGACAGGCAGAGAGGGACACAGAGGCAGAAAGAGAAAGAGAGCGAGCCAGCGGAAGGCGCTCACGCGGTCCCCGACTCTCACCCGGTCTCCGCAGAGCAGCTGCCGCGGCCGTCGCTGGTGGCGCTGCCCGGGCCGGTGGTGGCTCCCGGCGCCAACGTAAGCCTGCGCTGCGCCGGCCGCCTGCGGAACATGAGCTTCGTGCTGTACCGCGAGGGCGTGGCGGCCCCGCTGCAGTACCGCGACTCCGCGCGGCCCTGGGCTGACTTCCCGCTGCTGGGCGCCCGCGCTCCCGGCACCTACAGCTGCTACTACCACACGCCCTCCGCGCCCTACGTGCTGTCGCAGCGCAGCGAGGCGCTGGTCATCAGCTGGGAAGGTGAGGGTCCTGCCGCCGGCCCGTCTCCCCAGCCCCAGGAATACAGGTCCCAGCCCCTCCTCCCTCAGACCCAGGAGTCCAGACCCCCGGCCCCTCCTCCCCAGCCCCAGGAATACAGGTCCCAGCCCCTCCTCCCTCAGACCCAGGAGTCCAGACCCCCGGCCCCTCCTCCATCAGACCCGGGAGTCCAGACTCCCAGTCCCTCCTCCCTCAGACCCGGGAGTCCAGGCCCAGCCCCTCCTCCCTCAGACCCAGGTGTCCAGACCCCCGGCCCCTCCTCCCTCAGACCCGGGAGTCCAGACCCCAGTCCCTCCTCCCTCAGACCCGGGAGTCCAGATCCCCAGCCCCTCCTCCCTCAGACCCGGGAGTCCAGACCCAGCCCCTCCTCCCTCAGACCCGGGAGTCCAGACCCCCGGCCCCTCCTCCCTCAGACCCGGGAGTCCAGACTCCCAGTCCCTCCTCCCTCAGACCCGGGAGTCCAGATCCCCAGGCCCTCCTCCCTCAGACCCGGGAGTCCAGACTCCCAGTCCCTCCTCCCTCAGACCCGGGAGTCCAGACCCCAGACCCTCCTCCCTCAGACCCAGGTGTCCAGACCCCCAGTGTCTCCTCCCTCAGACCCAGGAGTCCAGACCCCCAGTGTCTCCTCCCTCAGACCCGGGAGTCCAGGCCCCCGGCCCCTCCTCCCTCAGACCCGGGAGTCCAGGCCCCCGGCCCCTCCTCCCTCAGACCCCGGAGTCCAGACCCCCAGTCCCTCCTCCCTCAGACCCGGGAGTCCAGACCCCAGACCCTCCTCCCTCAGACCCAGGTGTCCAGACCCCCAGTGTCTCCTCCCTCAGACCCAGGAGTCCAGACCCCCAGTCTCTCCTCCCTCAGAACCGGGAGTCCAGGCCCCCGGCCCCTCCTCCCTCAGACCCGGGAGTCCAGACCCAGCCCCTCCTCCCTCAGACCCCGGAGTCCAGGCCCCCGGCCCCTCCTCCCTCAGACCCCGGAGTCCAGACCCCCAATCCCTCCTCCCTCAGACCCAGGAGTCCAGACCCCCAGCCCCTCCTCCCTCAGACCCCGGAGTCCAGACCCCCAATCCCTCCTCCCTCAGACCCGGGAGTCCAGACCCAGCCCCTCCTCCCTCAGACCCGGGAGTCCAGACCCAGCCCCTCCTCCCTCAGACCCAGGAGTCCAGACCCCCGGCCCCTCCTCCATCAGACCCGGGAGTCCAGACTCCCAGTCCCTCCTCCCTCAGACCCGGGAGTCCAGATCCCCAGGCCCTCCTCCCTCAGACCCGGGAGTCCAGACTCCCAGTCCCTCCTCCCTCAGACCCGGGAGTCCAGACCCCAGACCCTCCTCCCTCAGACCCAGGTGTCCAGACCCCCAGTGTCTCCTCCCTCAGACCCAGGAGTCCAGACCCCCAGTGTCTCCTCCCTCAGACCCGGGAGTCCAGGCCCCCGGCCCCTCCTCCCTCAGACCCGGGAGTCCAGGCCCCCGGCCCCTCCTCCCTCAGACCCGGGAGTCCAGGCCCCCCGGCCCCTCCTCCCTCAGACCCCGGAGTCCAGACCCCCAATCCCTCCTCCCTCAGACCCGGGAGTCCAGACCCCAGACCCTCCTCCCTCAGACCCAGGTGTCCAGACCCCCAGTGTCTCCTCCCTCAGACCCAGGAGTCCAGACCCCCAGTCTCTCCTCCCTCAGACCCGGGAGTCCAGGCCCCCGGCCCCTCCTCCCTCAGACCCGGGAGTCCAGGCCCCCGGCCCCTCCTCCCTCAGACCCGGGAGTCCAGACCCAGCCCCTCCTCCCTCAGACCCGGGAGTCCAGGCCCCCGGCCCTTCCTCCCTCAGACCCGGGAGTCCAGACCCCCGGCCCCTCCTCCCTCAGACCCGGGAGTCCAGGCCCCCAGCCCCTCCTCCCTCCGACCCGGGAGTTGAAACCTCCATCGACTCCCCCTCAACTTTGAGACTGAGGAGTCAGGTCCCCAAGTCCACCCCAGGGCTGGAAACCTGGAGTTCAGGGCCCAGACTTCGGAATCCGGGAGCTGACGACCCGTCTCTCCCGGCCCCGCCCGCAGACTCTAGCTCCTCCGACTACACTCGGGGGAACCTTGTCCGCCTGGGGCTGGCCGGTCTGGTCCTCATCTCCCTGGGCGCACTGGTCACTTTTGACTGGCGCAGCCAGAGCCGTGCTCCTGCTGGTGTCCGCCCTTGAGCCCCAGGGGCACTGCAACGCGAGAAGACTTCCAACCTGAGTGATGGAGAGGCTGGGACCCTGGGCTGGATTGTCCTTTCCTGCAGCCCCGCAGCCCTGCTGGCTGAGCCCCGAGGAACTGCCCTTCGACACCCCTGTGCCCTGTGCTGTGGCTTCTTTCCGGGCCTTTCCCAACGAGTAGCTGAGTGGAAGACGCGATCAGTGGTTAAGACTTCCAAGCCAGAAGACAGAGGGTTCGAATCCCAGTGCTGCCGTCTACTCACTGTGGTAGTAGTAGCAGCTACAGAGAGGTAGCAGTGAGAGGGGAAGCCAGCTGGACCTCCTGGGTCGAGTGGAGGCTTGGAGAACTTTTCTGTCTTACAAGAGGATTGTAAAATGGACCAATCAGCAGGACATGGGCGGGGACAAATAAGGGAATAAAAGCTAGCCAGCATTGGCACCCTGCTCGGGTCCCCTTCCAGGCTGTGGAAGCTGTGTTCTCTTGCTCTTCACAATAAATTTTGCTGCTGCTCACTCTTGGGTCCATGCCATCTTTAAGAGCTGTGACACTCACCGCGAAGGTCTGGGGCTGCATTCTTGAAGTCAGCTAGACCACAAACCCACTGGAAGGAACCAACTCCGGACGCGGTGGCAGCATTGAGAAAGCGCCCTTCCCAACTCTCTCTCGCCTGGACGGTGAAATGGATGCACTGATAAAAGCCATTTCATAGGATTGTTGTAGGATTCAGTGGGTAATACATATAAAACATTTAAAACAGTAACTGGCCCGTAGTAAGTGCTCAATGAATGTGAGCTACCCTATTACACCGATTTCTACCAGACTCATTGCCGAAAACAAGGTCTCACCTTTTTTCCATCAAGCATAATCAAGCACAACTTTTTTTTTTTTTTTTTGGAGAGAAGATCTCACTCTATCACCCAGGCTGGAGGGCAGTGGCACGATCTCGGTTCACTGCAACCTCCGCCTCCTGGGTTCAAGTGATTCTCGTGCCTCAGCCTCCTGAGTAGCTGGGATTACAGGTGTACACCACCACGCCCAGCTAAGTTTTGTATTTTTTTTTTTTTTTTTTTTTTTGAGACGGAGTCTTGCTCTGTCGCCCAGGCTGGAGTGCAGTGGCCGGATGTCGGCTCACTGCAAGCTCCGCCTCCCGGGTTCACGCCATTCTCCTGGCTCAGCCTCCCGAGTAGCTGGGACTACAGGTGCCCGCCACCTCGCCCGGCTATTTTTTTGTATTTTTTAGTAGAGACGGGGTTTCACCGTGTTCGCCAGGATGGTCTCCATCTCCTAACCTCGTGATCCACCCGTCTCGGCCTCCCAAAGTGCTGGGATTACAGGCTTGAGCCACTGCGCCCGGCCTAAGTTTTGTATTTTTAATAGAGATGGAATTTAGCCATATTGGCCAGGGTGGTCTCAAACTCCTGACCTCAAGTGATCCACCGGCCTCGGCCTCCCAAAGTGCTGGGATTACAGGCCTGAGCCACCGCGCTCCTTCACTTTGCCTTTCCTTGCCTTGACTGGGCCTTACTCTTTTGCCCAGGCTAGATTGCAGTGGCATGATCAAGGCTCACTGCTGCATTGACCTCCCAGGCTTAAGTGGTCTCCCCACCTCAGCCTCCCAAGTAGCTAGAACCACAGGTGCAGGCCACGATACCTGGCTGATTTATTATTATTAGTAGTAGTAGCAGCAGCAGTAGAGGTCTCTCTATGTTGGCCAGGCTGATTTCCAACTCCTGAGTTCAAATGATCCTCCTGCCTCTGCCTCCTGAAGTGTGGGGATTATAGACATGAGCCATCCAGACAGGTTCATTTCCCCTTTTCTTGACTTGTGCCCCCATTTTGGTGGAGCACACACCTTCTTCTATTTGTATTGTTTTTCAACTTTGCCTTCCCCTTTTCCCACTTTATGGAGAAGACAGTGACTTCTAATGCTTGGACAGCCCAGCTGTACCATGCTGGGCAAACTGGAGCAGTGTACAGACCCTTCTGAGTTTCCATCCAAGAAAGGGAACACCACAAAATCTACCTGTCCGTTCTAGAGAGGAACCAAGCAACTTGTCCCAACACAGGAAGAAAAATTAGAAAACCTTAGATCAGCGGCTTAACTCCTCTGACCCCAACCCCTTTTTGGTTTTTGTTATTTTTGAGATAGAGTTTCCCTCTTTCTCCCAGGTTGGAGTGCAGTGGCACGATCTTGGCTCACTGCAACCTCTGCCTCCTGGGTTCAAGGATTCTCCTGCCTTAGCCTCCCCAGCAGCTGGATTACAGGCACCTGCCACCACCCCTGGCTTTTTTATTTTTATGGGGTTTCACCATGCGGGCCAGGCTGGTCTGGAACTCCTAATCTCAAGTGATCTGCCCGCCTCTGCCTCCCAAAGTGCTGAGACTACAGGTGTGAGCCACCGCGCCTGGCCTGAAGCAATATTCATTTTTGGATGCACATTGATATATTTTATCTTATTAAAAATGCTTGTCTTGGCCGCGTGGTGGCTCAAGCCTGTAATCCCAGCACTTTGGGAGGCAGACGGGCGG